TGAGTTTTAAACAATGGGGATTTAACCGAAATGACTCATTTACCCATAAACCTCCCATGAACGTCCCCCTGTTGCACCCCTCCCACCCCCCACCCCATGGATTCAGAGAACAGAGAACGCCGGGGATAATATAAGATAGAAAAACAGACAGGTTCCTGACTAGCACCTTGAAGTTATTGTGGTGACTTACATGAAAGAATTTCAATCTAAAACTGAAAATGGAAAATCTCATACACGTGCTCTCAGGACTGAGAGACTGATTTGCTGTAAATGCCGGATTTACAGAAAACTGAAACTCATCCCTTGACCAATGGACACTTGCCAAGATCTTTCTATCCTTGTTGCTTGGACTTGTCAAGAGTTCAGACAACCAAAGCCAAACTAACGAATCAACAATATAGTAATTGGTAGAAGCTTATAATGCAAACATCAAGAGGACAGATTGCAAGCCAGAGCACTCAAGTCAAAACACAGACTGAAACTTACAGATATATTATTACTAAGCAGCTTATGTAATGAGAAAACAATGACTGTTCATTCCTCTCAGTGATAGGTTATAGCACTGGAATTTTCTTAGCTGGTGGGCAGTTAGTCAAAGGTTGCCTCATTTCAACTTTGGGAGGTTGTTGTTTATGGTTTCCAGAGGCATAGATAAGAGATGACCCAGATTGATTGGCTTCATAAAACGGGCTGAAATGAGCACTATTTCTTGACAAAGCTGCTTTTGTCTGCTTTCAAGGCTGGTCTCCTTTTGTTTTCTATTTTGCCAGACTCTAACAACCCTTCCCTCCCTTGCACATAAGTTCACCCTAAATGCTCAACGACGTGCATATAGCTTGGTGTGTCCTGAATTACAGTTCCTCTGCTATTCCAAACAGGATCATTTTGGAAGAAGATTTTTGAGCCTGCCTCAGCTTACCTCTTTATTTAAGTGATACCTAAAATCCCACTCGGGACTGTTACAGGAATGAGAAATAAACTTCTACTGTGCTGAGCCATTATAGACTGCTTTTACGTGCTGCTGCACACACACATGGACTGGGTATTGGGGCACAAGGCAGGGTCCATTCCTAGGCAGAAAGGAAACTGGTAAGAACTGTCTGAAGCTCTAGCAAAACAACAGGTAAAACTACTGGCTTCACTGAGAGCAACCCAAGGACCCCCTGAAACCTCTACCTTCTGGGGCAAGAGGTTAGAAAAAGCCAAAAGTTAGTGGGTGCTGCTGTTAACCTGATGTATTCAGCCAGGCAGTGTAAAAAGGTAAGTTCAGACAAGAACAAGCTGCTTTCTGGCAGTGATTATAAGAAAATTCACAGGGCGAGAAAAGCCAACTGTTTATTTAGACTCCAAACTGCAGAAGACAGTAGGAAAAATGGGTTTGAGGAACAAAACCCAGTAAAACTTCTTAGTTAAATAAACTCAGCCCAGAGGGAAAAAATAAGATTAAGGGTGTTGCCTTCCCACATAAATTTGTATTAGAAATTGGCCTCAAGGTAGGCAACATTTGAGGAAAGAAGAATTAAGAAAATAAAATTGCCTACAACAGTATTTAGGAGAGAACTTTGAGGTTAATGGTTCATAGAACTGTCTGAGTCAACAGATCAGAAACTTACAAGATCTGATGTTTTAAAGAAACTGCACTGTCAAAGAAAGCATAGCCTGTCTAAAAATACAATACCTTTCATACTACAGTCTTCCAGCATAAGCAAGAGGTTGGCTGTAGAAGCCATGCCGCCCCCAATCAGTTGCCAGATCTAGTAAATAAAATGCAGGGTACCTAATTAAATTTGAATTCTAGGTAACAAAAAATATTCATTTTAGTCTATCTCAAATATTGCACATGCTTGATCTAATCACAGGCTTCTGCTGCCAGAACAGAGGCACTCACGCCTCCACAGGGTACGGATCACTGATAAAACCACTAACTGCTATATGTGCTTAGTCTTTCATTTCTGAAAGGAATTTTTATGGTGGAAAACCTACCCCTGCTCTTCTACAGTGGATGAATGGGTGGGGCAAATACTTCATTCTCTTTAGCTTATAGGAGTGTGTACCGCTAGTGGACACAAGAGGGCCTGGTAAGACAGTTGCAAATCACGTGGAGGATCCAGACCCAGAAGCAGACATTCTGTGTTTGCCTCCTTGGAGGGTAGGGGTGTTTGTGTTCTCTGTGTGGCGAGGAGGGTTCTGCAACACCCACTCTTGTTGGTCTTTACAGAACCAGATAATCAAACTCACAAAGCTCACAAAGCAGCTTCTATGATTGTCCCTAATGATCTCTGCTTCCTGGTATTCACAGCCTTGTGCAATTTACTCCCTTCGAGTGGGGAATGACATATGTGCCTTGTTTCTAACTAACAAAATACTGCAAAGGTAATGATGTTACCAGCATGACTATGTCACACAAAACTGACTTCCACCTTGCTAGGTTTGACAGAGCAAGCTGCCAAGTGGCAGAAGCCCCCGTGAAAGGAATTTACCCTCTCAACCCTATAGCCTATGAGAAGCTGAATGTTGCTAACAACCCTGTAAGTATAAAGACAGTGAGTGGATCAACTTGGCTAAAGGAGATTGGAATGTTACAACCAGACTGGAGGATCGGAAACTAGCCTAAACTTGTGCTTTGCTCTGTAGGCCACAGAAAGTCTTAAAGCCTCTAAACACGACTGTGACAAATCAAAGCGGTGTCTAAGAGAAATTCAGTCACACGTGGGTGGAATGGAGATGGACATGTGCCTGAGCTAGGGTCATGGCGAGGGAAGAAGCAAATGAATTAGTTACTGGTCAGATGTTAGTGAAAGGGAGAGGTCCAAGAAAATCCTGGGATTTATGGTCTAAATAACCAAGAAAATCCTGAACAGAAAAAAGTAACTGAGAATGACCTCATTTTATGAGCACCAGGAGTTTAGCTTCAGATGTACGAGTCTGAGATAATATCCAAATTGGAAATATTTTCAAAGGGAGAATAGTTCAGTGCTGAAAAGGAAAGAAACTGGGGATTCAGATTTATCAGCAATCATCATGACCGCTGCTCACACAAGCCACAGCTCTGCATGCACCAAATCCAGCACATCCTTTTATACTCCTGGGAGGCAGGCACAGTTACTAGTATTTTACAGAGGAGATTCCAAAGGCTTATGAAGTTTATATAACTTGTCCAAGGTCACATAACTAGTGACCAGCAGTAGGATTTGCAATCAGACCTGTTAAGAGCACAAGCTTTTATGCTATAACAGTTATAGACTCAATGCTTCTAACTTAAACGGTAACTAAATAGTATCTCTGAAAGAAAAAAAATGCAGATAAAGAAAAATAAGGTCCATATTCAGAAGGAAAAAGAAAATTAGCAAAGGAGTCAGGAGGAAAGCCAGGATACAGCAGAGCTACAAATACTAACAAAAGCTAACATCTGAACCCTTAGTATGCGCCTGCTATGAGGCGCATATTAAGTTTGTATTCTTATCAGGTCAGTTATCATTGGAGATAATTTGTGAGGAAATAGTATATTAGCACGATGAGGGCTAATATGAGGGCTAATATGAGGCTAATATGAGGGCTTTTCATGTTACCTCTTAAGGAATCCACCATAGCCCTAGGAAATGGTCCTGTGATTATCCTGATTTTACAGGCAATGGGACTTAGTCACTGACAGGTTAGGTGATTTGGTTTAATTATGTAGCTGGGGGGCCTCCCCCATGGTACAGCGGGTTGAGCGCAGCGCTGTGAAGCTGTCCGCAGCCTCTGCAGCACCGGTTTGATTCCCAGAAAGCCAGGGAGATTCCCACATGGCATGGCAGACCTCTCCTGCCTCGCCCACTGCTTCCCTCAGCAGTGTATTTTGGTCCTTCTGCCTGTTCTGCTCCCTGCTCTGTCTCTGATGAATTCTCACATCCTTCCACGCCTCTGGCTTGTACCCCAGTGCTTGTATAAATAAATAAATCTTAAAAAAAAAAAAAAATTATGTAGCTGGGAAGCTAGGGAGTCAAGATTTGAACCCAGGACCCCTGAAATCTGAACCCACGTACTAAACCATGATGATCCAGGTATGACTTCCCAATACCAAGACTTTCTGATAAGATCCTCGGTGATATTAACAAATACAATTTTTGAACTACTTAACAAAGAAATGTGCAACATCCAGAAATGATGCATGACTCAGTGAACTAATATTTTCCAAGTGACCAGGCCTTGATGTCACAAAATCATACATGTATATAAGATCCATTTGAAACGCTAGGTATGCCAATGAATTTTCATACAAGAGTACAAACAGTTCATCAATATGGCTTCAGATTCCGCACAGCAACTTAACCTTTACGAAACTACCACTCGCTGAGTTTTGTGTAATATCAAAGGCAATTTTCAATAAAAAACACTCCTCACTTTTCCAATCACCTACCTCTGTGAGGTCAGATTTTCTTCAACCATAACATATTACAACAGATTAAATGCGGAAAAAAAAATGTGAAAATCCTGATGTCATCAATGAAGTCATGAATTGAGAGATTTGCAAAAAATGTAAAAACAAAGACACATCTCACTAAATGTTTTGTTTTACAGGTTTTTGTTCATAAAAATGTTAACGTTATAGATTTATTCTTTTTAATATAGTCTTAAAATTTCTTAGTTTCAGTTTTTATTAAATAGTGATAGATTAAAACCATGCAAAACTAAAGAACACTACTCAGTATTACTGCTATTACTAACACAGGCACCTTACACTGTTATATTTCATTGAATGCTGGCAATCCTATGAGGTAAACAGTAGCATTCCTGTTTACTAACAAGGAAACTAAGTCTGCAAAATCAATTCCTTTACCTAAGGTAGCCCAAGTAGGAAGTAGCCAGGACACTACCAGACAGATACCAGGTCTGTCTGATCCCAAAAATCTTTGCTTTTAATTATTGCAATACTCTCTGAGTCCATGAATAGGTGTCAAATTGTTGGATGTTGAGAATAATCACCATTTTAAGGAGAGCAATAGAACTGAGTGACTTACTTTATAGATTTCTTCATATGTTTCCTCATCAATTTCTATAGTAGTTACAGTTTCTTCCACATCTCCCAATATCATATTTAAATGTTGATCATAAGCCTGTGAGGATGATGGAGGGTGAGGGACCAAGAAATTTAATAATCAAATTAAAAAATAATGAATAGGGCTTACAATAGGCAAATGGCTCAATTATAAATAAACACTTGCACCACAAATTTTTATATGCAAATAAAAAATAATATCATCGTGCTAATATACTATTTCCTCACAAATTATCTCCAATGATAACTGACCTGATAAGAATACAAACTTAATACGTCCCAAAATGTATTTACTCAAAATAATGTGAAATTGTTTTTTTAATAAGTGTCCATCTTACTTATTATCCAAAGCAGCAACATAATTTATAATAAATACTTAATTATGAAAAATAGCATATTTGTCATCACTTAACAGCAGTCATCCTTCAATTTCATCTGCAACAGCATAAGAAAGATACAGTGAAAGAGATAAAATGTAACTGCTAAGATGGCACTGTAGTATGCTAAAGGCAAACTGCCTTCTAACACCCCCCCAACCTCATCATAAACACCACAAGGTAAAGTAAGGAGAGCAATACCCTGCTCATTTACAACCTAGCCAGAACTGTGCCTAGCTTCTGTGGGTCCAATCAATAAATGTTGCAACTCAGATATTCAAGGATATCCCCGATTCCAGCTTCAGAGTTCATGCATTATACTCTCAGGTACCTGTACATGCTACTTATAGAGAAGCCTGCAACAGTTAAGATAACATGTCTGATCTGGGGGGTTTCACCATGCACCACAGGTCCACGTGAAGGAGCACAAGTCTATTCTCAGCAAAAAATTGCTACTATTCCATTTCCTGGTGTTTCTCATCGCTGAAATCTGTATGTTAAGATCATGGTCTCCCTAGTCCTTCCTTCCCTTCCCAGCATAGGTTCCTGAACTAGGTTTTACGGAAGGTGGAATTACAGTTCTTAAGGGAGGGCTAAAGTCAGGTGCAGAGGTGCATATTCTGGTTCTCCCTGTATTGGCTGTATCACCTTGTAACTTTGTCTTTCTGCACCTGAGCTTCCTCCAGTGTGAAATGGGAATGATTAGTATCTGCCTTCAGAGGGTTATCATAAACATTAAGCTACCTACAAAACACTTAGAATAGTATCCAGCATAATGAACTATTTTTAATCACTTTACAGTAGAGCGGAAGTGATAACAACTCAGGAAAGCAATACATCACAAGAAGTGGCAAAATCTACTTTATACCCTATGAATAAATGGGACTACTCCCAGGGACTTCTATAGACATATTTGCAAATACACACAAAGCAATGAACAAAGAAATATGTAGAAAAGTGCTCACCGCAGCACTATTCATAGCTGTAAGAAATGGAAAACAATCTACATTCCATGATCATATAATGACTATCTGTACATGGCATATACAGAATTCCATGCAGTCATTAAAACATAAAGGAAACATGCATTCATCATCAATTTCCAAGAAAAAGCAAGTAAAAATGGTGCTCAAAAAATGTGTACAGGGCCTCCCTGGTGGTGCAGTGGTTGAGCGCTGGGTTGCGAAGCTGCCCGCAGCCTCTGCAGCGCCGGTTCGATCCCCGGCTATTCCCCGGCCACCTGAGGAGGGTCCCACATGGCGCGCAGACCTCTCCTGCCGCCCACTGCTCCCCTCAGCAGTGTGCTTCGGTCCTTCTGCCTGTTCTGCTCCCCGCTCTGGCTCTGGTGAATTCTCTCACCCTCCCGCGCTTCTGACTGTACCCAGTGCTTGTATAAATTAAAAAAAAAAAAAAAAAAAAAAAAAAAGATACTTAAAAAATTTTTAAAAAATTAAAAAAAAGGTAGTGATATCTTTTCATAGTTTCTGCAAAAAGTGCAAACATATGCAAATGAGCATACATGTATCCCTATGTAAGCATACACAAAAGATCTGAAAGACGAAAGTCTTGATTTTGGTGGGTATGTGGGTTCTTTTTTACCTTTATTAACTTTTTTTACGTAACTAGTCCTAGTTTGTTGACAGTAGTATGAACAAGGGAATGTATGTACTCTTATGTACTTTTGTGCTGTTTTTCAGCACAAAATGTGGGTTGGAACATACACAGGAAGGAGTTACATAGCAAAACAATGGTGTCTGTACTTTGTTCCACAAAAATAGAAACTGTGTGACCCAATTTCAGGGTATAGGAGATCTTTTTTTTTTTAATTATATATATATTTTTTACATCATTTTTCACTTTTGCACAATGTATGCATTTTCATCTTGGTTATAGTCCCCATACAATTCCCACCCATGGAGATTATTTTTCCCACAACAAAACACCTATTCAGTATTTTAAAGGACATTTAAATAAGAATGGAGGACAAGTAAATGTCACAAACAGAAGGGGAGAAATTAAAGAAATTATTCTTTAATAAATACACAACTTTCATTAAAAGGTAACATGTAAAATTTGGGGTGACTTTCCACCTCCCTCTAGCTACATTCAAAATATTCTGCCACATTTTTACATTTTTTTTAAACATTTGTTTCTTATTTATTTATTCATTTATTTTTAATTTATACAAGCACTGGGTACAGTCAGAAGCGCGGGAGGGTGAGAGAATTCACCAGAGCCAGAGGGGAGACCAGAGCAAGAAGTACACTGCTGAGGGGAGCAGCGGGCAGCAGGAGAGGTCCGCGCACCATGTGGGACCCTCCTCCGGTGGCCGGGGAGCAGCCGGGGATCGAACCGGTGCTGCAGAGGTTGCGGGCAGCTTCGCAACCCAGCGCTCAGCCGCTGCGCCACCGGGGAGGCCCCCACATTTTCACATTTTAAGAGCCAGGCTAAGAAGCAATGATAATAATCTGATTTCATGGTAAGTAAATTTACTTACATGTAATCTGCCTCGAAGCTCTCTGTCATTTCTCATTTTCACATAAATTCGTTCATCCAAGCTGAGCCTAATGAGATCCAGGGGTTCTTCTACAGTGTTTGTAGTTTGTTGCTGATTTAAACAAAAAAAAAAAGGGGGGGGGCTCAGTAATGTAGTATTAGAAAGACTGTAGTGTTTGAATTATTACTATACTGTGTGTGACAGGGCAAGTGCCGGAAATTCTCTACACCTCAGTCTCCAATTTATGGATGAGGGTAACAACAGTAACACTGCCTACATAACACTGCTGTTGTGAGACTTAACTTGACATCCATGAAGGCTTAGCATAGCACACTGCCGGCACATAGCAGGCGATACATAAATGTGGGTTGGAACATACACAGGAAGGAGTTACACAGCAAAACAATGGTGTCTGTACTTTGTCCCACCAAAATAGAAACTGTGTGACCCAATTTCAGGGTATTGGAGACCATTTTTTTTAAATTTTATATATATATTTTTACATCATTTTTCATTTTTGCACAATGTATGCATTTTCATCTTGGTTATAGTCCCCATAAAATTCCCACCTTACGAGATCATTTTAAAGTCCCTTTAACCTTACCTCAAATATCATTTAATCATTGAAAAAATATTCACTTAATGCCTTATCCCACACTAGTCAGAATGTTAAGCAGAAGTGAAGCCTTGAGGGAAGATTATGAATGCAGCACAACCCAGGTACCAAGTGACCAGAAAGATGAACACTTTAAGGAGACAGTATAAAATACTGGTATAAAGCACTGGCGTTCAAGTCAGGCAGCATGTCTTCAACTACTGGTTCTGACACTTACGAACTGAGATTAAAAATCAGGCCATATCTAGTATCCAGTTTCCTTGATTGCAAAACAAGGATGCCAAAACCTTACTTTCATGATTCTTGTGAAGACAAAATGAACCATAATGTATATAAAATAGTCCCTGACAAATTCAAAGCACTTATAAATGGCTCTCCTTATTGCTACTGAAGAATCTGGAAAAAAAGAGTTTCAGAAAGGTCAGGGTTAGGATGACTTGGGGTCATCCAAATGAAGGGATGGTTAAAGCCGGAGAGTTAAGATTATTCAAGGAGAGCTTCAGTAAGTACAGAAGGCCAGTGGAAGAAGATGATGGAATGTTATACTCCACAGTCTTAAAAGGCCAGATGAGAAAATAAAAATTCCTGACTTCAACTGATCCCTGTACCCTGTTCAACAGGTGTTTGTTTTGCACTAGTCAACGGACTGCTGGATTACAATGATATAGAAGTCAGCCCCTGCCCTCACGGAGCTCATTCTAGTGGGGAGAGAGCCATATAATTATAATACTATAAGACTATACATATACTGCTTTTCAAGTCTCAGTCTGATAGCCACCGTCCACCCCTTTCATTCCTTAAAGATGCCTTTTCTTAGAGGACTTCACATCATCCAATCCATTCACTCAATAAATATTTGAGCGTTTCCAGCACTGTTCTGGACCCCAAGAACAGAAGAGTGAACAAAACAAAATCCCTGCCCATAAGGAACTTACATTCTAGCAGGGAAAGACAGGATTAAACAAGCATATATTTAATATGAACAAGAAACTCGCTATATTAAAAAAAAAAAGGCGAGCTGACTGGAGGGATGGCCATTTTTTGTGGTGGATAGGGAAGTCCTCTTTGATGAGGTGAGATTCCAGCAGAAAGCTGAAGAATGTGGTGTGATTCGCGAAGGAACTGAGGAAGAGCATTTGGGGAAGACAGATAAAGAAGCCTTCAGGACCTTCAGTTTACTCTGAATATCTGTTCTTAGCTTGTTTCCTTCATAACACGACACAATTGCTACAGATCGCTGGTACTGACCTCTACTTTCTAGTATATGAGCTGCCGAAGCAAACACTGATCTTTACTTTTTATCTGTTCTTCCCCAAAATATAAGCTCCAAGTGTGGACAGGGAACCTGCATATCCGTGCTTGTGTCCCTGGTGCCTTGAAAGACGCCTAGTCTTACAAAGCTGATGTTCACTTTGTATTTGTCGAATTGTTAGGCTCACGAACGATAATAACTTTCTTACATGCTATCAGAATCCCCACAGCTCCGTGAGGCAGACAAGGATAATTACCGCTATTCAAGAGAAAGGAAATAACGAGAATGAGGAATAAACCAGTTTTCAGGAGGGCTTCCAACAGAAAAGATCTCAGAGCCTGAAGCAAAATTGGGGGGGGGGGGCGGACGGTTAACAAGGGGTAGTTTAAGACCGCGACGACCGGGAAGAGGAAGCATGATAGGCGGCCTTCTCGTGAGCGTGGAGGAAGCAGCCCTGGGACGCAAAGTCGAGGAGGCCCAGTGCTGGGTAGCGGGAAAGCCGCTCTGAAGAGAGCTCCTCAGAAGACTCACCTGGTCCACGTCGTCCGCCATGTTTCAAACCCTGCGCCCTTTCCCGCCTCTCGCGAGAGCACGCAATCCCCTCTACCCCCCGCTAGCCCACCCAGTTTCCGGAAGTGCGAAACACAAAGCGCCGGAACTCGCCAGAAATCTGTTATGTCCCTTCTAGCTTCCCGCAGTTTGCGTAAGTCATTTGGGGGACTGGGCGGAGCTTCTCCTGGAGGCGTCGGCTGAGCCTACCAGCAGGGGCGTGGTCAGCCTGAGCGCCGCCTGGGGGCGGAGCCCGGGCGCCCGCAACTTCCCGCCTCCAGGTGCGTCACTCGCTACGGAGTTTCGTCGGGACAACATGGGTCGCAGGCGTGCGGCCGACAAGAAGTCGCGGGGAAGCGAGCCTCGCGGCCAGAAGGCTAAGGGGGAGAACTTGACCCTGCGCGAGGAAACGGAGGCGGGTGAGAGCGAGGCCGAGCGGGGTGTAGGGGGCGATGCTGCAGGAGGGCAGGAGGCAGGCCTGGGTGCGGGAGGCTGCACCTCCTGGAGAGGGGAGGCGGAAGCCGCCGCGAGCCCTTCTGCGCGACTAGACGACATTACGGTAGCCGAGGGAGGCAGGCTGCTGTGCTGCTGCCCCGGTCCTCCACGAAGCCCCTGTGCCTTTGTCCTCCATACGAGATGTGATGCGCTCTGAGCGGTTCCCCTGGAGTTCACCTGGCCACGGACTTCCCTGCGTAGCCTCTTTCTGCACCCTGTTATCTATCTACAGGATAAAGTCCAGCCGCCTGGCAGATGTTCAGGGTTGAATGGGGAAAGACTTTGCAGATTATTTTGTGTCCTGCGAAGACGGATCAGGACACACGAGTGCTGTATGTAGTGTGCTAACTGCCAGGATATCTTCAGCTCTGTCTCGCCCCAGAATTCCAGATTTGGATCCATCCTGAATTCTCCACGTGGATAATGAATAGCCTTATTATATGTAAACCTGTCCCATTGAGTTTTTGTCATCTCAATAAATGATCCCTTCTCCCACCTGTTCAAGCAAACCCAACCTTTTCCTCTCCCTCATTCAGTGAGACCGCAAATTCAACATCAGAGCTTTATTTCCAATGTCTCCACTGCTCTTAATCTCCACAGGCCGTGATCCCTGACCAAGTCACCATTACTTTTCAGTTGTGCGGCTGGTCTCTCTACAGCCTTTTATCCCCCTGCAGCAGTACTCCACCAAGTGATCTTAAAAAAAAAAAAAACAACCAGATCATGTCATGCTCTTACTTCAAACCCTCTGTGGCCTCCCATTGCTCTGAGCATAAAATCCAGATTCCTCCCCATGGGCTATAAGGTACTCCCTACGCGATTTAGCTGCTGCTACCTTCCCTGTTGGGGCCCAACATTCTGATGCCAGATGCCATCCTTACTGACCTTTCTTTCCCTCAAATATACCCTGTTATTTCTCACCTAAAGCCTTTGCCTTTGACATTCCTCTGCCTAGATTGTTCTCCCATGACTCGCTCTGGCTGGCTTCTATTCCTTCAGGTCTGGTCTCAGACACTCCTTGAGCATCCTCTATAAGGTGGTCTTCCCTGGTACTGTACCACATAGGCCCCCGTAGCCTCTGTCATGATCTTGTTAATTTGCTTCCTTTTTAAACACTCATCAGAGTTAAGCTTTCTGAAAGCATTGCTGTTTCCTATCTTGTCCTCTACATATACAAATAACCCAGTGCATCTTAAAATAATTGCATACCTCATGCTATAGAAGGGACTTCTGGGGTTCCTGAAATAACTAGGGGATAGATTCAACTGGCTTACGAGCAATTCCCGTGACTCCTGCATGTTAGCAATTTATCATCCATTAGAAAAATAGGCAGTAGTAGAAATTTCTACACATGGAGGGTGATTTGCCTCAATTCTGTGTGTGCCATTTTATTCATTTACTCACTAACGTTTTTTGAGTATGTGCTGTCCACCAGCTAGCTGACATGGGAGGTAGACATTGCTGGAGCACTTTCAACCATAGTAGTGGTCACATGCCATTTACAAAAAACAGCCAAGGCAGGTGTGATGTTATGGGAGAAGGTACAACTTTTTGTGGTTTCTGAAAGAATAAACAAGCTTGACTGGAGAGATTGGGAAGTGCTCTCTGGAGTATGTGATCTGTGACCTGTAAGGTGGGTGATATTTCAGCAGGAGTCTCTGAAAGAAGGATGGTATTCTGAATATGTGGCATTTCAAAAATGTTTTAGTCTGATGGGAATGCCTCGCACTGGGTACCATTCCTCCTTGCAAAACTCTTCTGCTGGGCATGGGTTGATAAAGCTCCAGTGCTTAGTAGTGGTATGCACTGTGGACAGATAATTTAGCCTTTCTGAATCCTGTCTGTGAAATGTGGTACTACCTTCAGGGTGATTATGAGCTTTCTCTGAGAGCATGTAAGGCTCCTGACATGGTCCATGTTAGGTTGGACTAGCTCCCATCACTTCAGCCTGCATGTAGGTTAGAATGCACCCAAGCTTTACTCAGACTCTGCTAGTCAGAGGAACTAGCTCTAAGTTCCCAATGCAGCTTTTGGGAAGACATCTAATCTTTGCCGTAGTTGGGGGGAGGAACAACTTTATTGTGGTTTGGACTGTGGGTGACACTAATTTGGTGGCTAGTCAGTGTGATTTTTAATAGTACAATAGTGCCTCAGTGCATGCAAATGAAGGTGACACAGATAGGGTCAACAGGTAGGGACAAAGAATACAATCTTCCACATTGTTTCCTTGTTTCTGCTAGGGCTCCTCTTGTTCTTTATGTTTCTTCTCTATGTTTATGCCTTCATTGATATAATTCATTAATGCCTTCAGGAAATATTTAGCACCTAGTATTTCCAGGCACTGTTCTAGGCACTAGCATTGTAGTGAACAAGATAGGCAAGGTCCCTGTTCTCATGGTACTTTTAATCTTTGGGGAGTAGTAAGTAGAACAGACAATAAATAACAAGTCAAACAATCAATTCATAAGGTGATAAGAACCATGAATAAAGTTAAACAGTTTGCTGTATTAAACTGACACGGGGTAAAGAAGAGCAGCTAAGTCAGAATCAGAAGTCAGGGATGGCCTCTGTGAGGAGGTGACATTTTGAGCTAATTACTTAAAGGAGCCACTCATAGGAAGTCCTGGGAGAGGGAAGTGTAAAGACTCTTAGGAGAGAGCAAGGTTGACCAGTTGGTTGGACTCAGTAAGGGGCCGATGGTGAGAGAGATGGGCAGGGCCCTAGGCTTGGAGATGCAGAGGGGTTTGGTTTTCCCCACATGCTAGGGGATGCCCTGGAAGGTTTAAGCAGGTGTTCTCATTAACTCTCATTAGACCACTTGCTCTGTGAAAGTAGCCATGTTGCGCTCTCCATCTTAGCTCTAGATCTGGGAGAGTCTTGGAAAATAGCATCTAGAGTCTCTGGGGCCAAAAAGACACAGAAAAAAAATTAAAAAAAAAAAGTTCTGCCATCCAGAAGTAACCACCACTAAATAATGAATTTGTAAAATAGAAAAGTATACTCCCTTGCCATGTTATTTAAATTTACTTATTGATACTACTGTTGAAAGACCATACTTTTTGGTACCCCAATTTAACTAAAACCAGCTTATGCATACTTTATATTTCCCTTTAACAAAAATCAACCACAGTTATCTTAAGCAAATAAAGAGATTTTTGAATTCCAACCCTGAGTTTGCTGAGATTGTTGGTGTATGAGCACCATTAAGTCAGACTGTAAAGGTTTCATTAAGTTTGTCTTTTGAGAAGTTTGGTTTTGAAAGATGATAGACACATGGATTGTAGATGTAAAGTTGTGGTAAAACTCATGATATATTTATGAAGTTGAAACATTTCACTTAATAGGAGTGGATTGTCCCTGAAATAGTGTTGGCAGGCTATAAAGACCAAGGTGTTAATGAATGGATTGATGTATTTTCCTTGCTGGATATTAGCTGAAACTTAAGATTTGGAAGTTAAAGTTTGAGTCATGTGACCTCTCTGTAGTCTTAGGAGTAGAATGAAATGCTTATAAAGGAAGTTGGTTTTTATTGTATAAACCTGGAGGTAGGAAGAGGCTGAAAGCTGATTGTTGGCCTAATAGGGGGTAGTGAGCTAGTGATGGAGACTTGGTTTGAAAGGAGTTTCTAGAAGACTTCATGACACTGCCCATTAAACCACAACGCCTCTCTCCACTTTTCCTCATGTCTCTTACCTCATGTTCCATGTGGTCATCTAGATGTTTTTGAAGATGAGAAACCCTCAAAGAAGACCATTCTCTCAAAAGTCTCAGGAAGAAAGAGGAAGAGAGGCTGCAATGATCCTGGAGGCCCAGCAGATAATCCAGCAAAAAAGAAAGTGGCCAAGGTGCCCAAGGTGATAAAGGACGTAAAGTCTGAAAATCCCAAGGTGATAAAGGACGAAGCCCTCAGTCATGGGGAGGATTTCAGGTGAGATGACTAAAAAGCATTTGACCAGGTCTCGACCTTGGAGAAGTGTAGAAAATTAAACCTGCTCTATTTGCTTGTCTCTTTTAAAGGTGGGATCATTAGTCTCCTGGATAGATCTCAGACCACTTGTGAAGAATCTTTTTATTTATTTATTTATTTCTACAAGCACTGGGTACAGTCAGAAGCACGGGAGGGTGAGAGAATTCACCAGCACCAGAGCGGGGAGGAGAGCAGGCAGAAGGATCGAAGTACACTGCTGAGGGGAGCAGCGGGCAGCAGGAGAGGCCTGCGTGCCATGTGAGACCCTCCTCCAGTGGAGCAGCCGGGGATCGAACCGGAGCTGCAGAGGCCGCGGGCAGCTCCGCAGCTCAGCGCTCAACCGTTGTGCCACCGGGGAGGCCCCCACTTGTGAAGACTATTAAGGATTATAATTTACCTCCCAAACTTCACATGAGGACAGTATCAGCTTGCAGAAAGTGGTTTACTTATAGATGTGCAGCTAGATAGTGGTAAAAACCAGCATAAGACCTCTGTCTTCTGACTCTACTCCACAAAGATACTAATGATACAAAATATTTACCTGCCATTTCAGCTTTACCTCCTGCTGTCCTGCTCTGATACCTGCTACTCCTGTCCAGCTGGGCTTCTCATTGCTCAGTGAATACAGGCTCATGCTTTGCTACCTTTCAGTTGTGCTGATATTCTTCCTGCATTTTTCCACCTTGAAGATGTAGAACAGAAGCCATCTGCTCTGCAATCTTCATTGATTCTTCCCTCTTTGCTCCTAAGATTTCTTGCTCATATTTTAACTTCTCAAATTTTAGTCAAAACTTGTCTGTTTGTTTTGATGCCTTATAACCCCTGCTTGCTATCCTGCAAGCTCTCAGAGGGTTGGAGCCACCCTGATTCATTTTTTTATATGCCCTGTGGGATCAAGGGCAGGCCCTTCTATTTGGCAGAAGCTGAATAAGTATTTCTGCAGTGGATGAGCAGCCCTATTGTATGTGAACAATGAATGCAAGCTTAGTGAACACTTGATTCTCTGCCTCCTAGGAAAATTGGGGGAGGGGAGGTAGAGGAAGAACAGAGGCAGCAGGCAGTAGTTTCTTCTTTGTTTCTTATTCTTAGAGTTGGCCTCTCTGCAGCCTCCAGTCCTATATAGAAGCCTCCAGGAGAGGGCAGCAGGGCAGAGGAGCAGGAAAGCTTACAGATTATTGGCCTAGTTCCACTTCTTCTCAGACTTCTCCTAAAAATGCCTCTGAGCTTGCCACTTCCCAGATACCTCTCCCACCAGTTAAGTTGTCTCCAGAGATAGCCACACAGACTAAGGTGCTACCAAAGAAGGCCCTGGCCCCTTGCCCTCCGTTGAGAGTTGACTGTGATCAAACCCATTGCACACGGACATTTCCACTAGGTTTATTCCAAGGGGAATTGTTTCCATGGTGTTGAGGAATGTGGTAGGCCAAAAAGAGAGGATCTGTGTTATTAGAGCTGAAGACTGAGCATGAGTTATTTTAACTAAAGGTCTGTGCTATAAAATCTTAGGTAACATCCTTACTTGATACCAAGTGTCAAACCTTATAAAAGGGGACCAGGAAAAAGAATAACTATAAGAAAGTAAAAATCAAAATCAACAAACAACTATGAACCAGAGACACTCTATGGGGGGTGGGGGGCAAGGAGGGGAGGGATTGGGGTCATAATAAGGGGGTCACAGTTGTATAGGGAATATAAAAAAAAAAACCTTATAAAAGTTAAAAGTAATTCATACTTTGTATATTTACTTGCAGAAATACATTGACTCTTGAGCCAGTGTTTAGCTAGTTACTTATCTGTGTAACTGTTTAACTAACTAGAGGTCTGTATTTCTGTTGTTATTTACATACTCCTGTGTCCTGTTGTGTCCCTCCTTATCCTGTTGACTTATTCTGTTGACTTCAGTTTCCTTACATTCTGCTTCTTAAAAGTGGGGAGAATTCTGTGTTGACTCATGGAGAGTCAGCAAATTGAATCCCTCCTCTTGTCTTGGGGATCCAACTGCTCACATATGCACACAGATGTTACAGCTTTTACTTCTGGAGTTCACTTTGTCGTTGTGGTTTCTCCTAACTCTTCTTACCATCTCTGGGCACAGCTCTGGCTTCCTTCATGAAGCTCCAGGTTATAGATCAGTGGTTTCTTTCTGTTTCAACAGCACCTCTAGAATTAGATGGGTGGTCAGAGCATTTGATACGCTGGTGGAAGAAATGAGGCCAGAGCTCACTTTTAAATCTCCTTTAAATGATTGCAACAGATTTTTAATAAATGGTAGTCCTTAACATTCCTTTTAACCTAAATGTAACACTAGAATATCTGAGCCCCCTTCATCTTCTCTCCTGTGGTCTTTACACAGGGACACAGCAGGTGCCCACAGGCAGGCACACCATCCCAAGAGAGAGGCTCCCGTGGACAAGGGCAGCCACAAAGGAGATGATGACGACGATGAGGACAGTGAAGATGATTGGGAAGAGGTAGAAGGTAGAACATCTTTTTTTATTTTCGGAACTGTTTGAGCCTATTTTTCTGTTGAGAGTCTGTGTAGAGTCCTTTGATCTATTTTATTCCTGTTTGTTTTTTTTTTTTTGAGCACCTTCACTGAATTTCTCTGTCCACGCATCCACAACCTCTTTTTTTTAAAAAAAAGATTTATTTTTATTTATTTATTTATACAAGCACTGGGTACAGTCAGAAGCGCGGGAGGGTGAGAGAATTCACCAGAGCCAGAGCAGGGAGCAGAGCAGGCAGAAGGACCGAAGCACACTGCTGAGGGGAGCAGCGGGCGGCAGGAGAGGTCTGCGTGCCATATGGGACCCGAACTGGTGCTGCAGAGGCTGTGGGCAGCTTTGCAACCCGGAGCTCAACCGCTGCGCCACCGGGGAGGCCCTCCTGTTTGTTTTTTTAAACTACTAAGACCAAAAAGGTTTGCAGCAGGGAGTTGCTTTAGATACAAGGAAAACTGCTTTGTAACATTCACGACCGGGTCACCAAATCAGATTGCATTTTCTTTTCCTTGGGCGGCTGAGAGGAGCAGAAGGAAATAGGGCAGGGGTATCTTCTAGTAGGAAGAGCTGAGCTTTGAAAGTAGTCAGTGCCATCTTTGCCACTTACATAGCTATATGAGCAAGAGTGCCATCTGAGCTGAGTTTTTTCACTGGAAACATTCAGTGAGCATCCAGTGGTTACTATGATAGTGCTGCCGGGCTCCAGAGTGTTTGCAAACGCGCTGGGCCTGGAGTGTCATTCTCATGATAAATAGCAGCTAATGTTACCATTCCTGGTTCTTTCTGCCTTGCAGGACTTTTTACCAGGTGTTTATTTTGAAAATGAGCAAATCTATGAAATAATTGAAAATACAGTACATCAGCAGGCATATCTCAGGTACACTGTGGGTTTTATGTTCCCACCCATGGCAGTTTTGGGTTTCATAGTACATAAAAAAGTTGTGCTTACACTGTACTGTAATGCATTAACTTGTGTCTTAAAAGACAACTTATGTACTTTATTTGAAAACTGCTGCTAAGAAATGCTGACCATTATCTGAGCCTTCACTGAGCCATAATCTTCTTTTGCTGGTGGAGGGCTGTGCCCTCGTCGGTGGCTGCTGACTGCTCAGCCCGCTAAAGGTCCAGTGGCTGTGGCATCTCTCAGAAGGCAGCAGGGAGTTCACTGTAGCGAACTTCCTTTTGTAAGATTTCTCTGTGGCGTGTCAGTCATGTACTGTTTGAGGGTTAGGGTTACCTAACCCTAAAATACTCAGTAGATCTTTCAAAATTGTAGTTAGTCACCTTAAATCCTGCTGCTGCTTTATTAACTAAGTTGATATAATTTTCTAAATCCTTTGCTGTCATTTTAGCAGTGTTTCCAGGATCTTCACCAGGAGTAGATTCCATCCCTAGAAACTACTTTATTTGTTCATCTGTAAGAAGCAACTCCTCCTCACCTGTTAAAGTTTTATCATGAGATTCAGTCACATTTTCAGGCTCTAATTCTAATTCTAGGTCTTTTGCTATTTCGAGTAAATAGGCAGTTAATTCCTCCACTGAAGTCTTGAACCCCTTAAAGTCATCTCTGGGGCTTGGTGTCAACTTCTTCCAAACTCCTGCTATTGTTGCTATTTTGACCTCTTCCTGTGAATCATGAATGTTCTCAGTGGCATCCAGAATGGTGAACCCTTCCAGATGATTTGCATTTGACTTTGTCCAGATCTATCAGGGGAATCACAATCTGTGGAAGTGATAGCCTTTAGAAATATTAAGACTTGAAAGTTGAAAAGGCTCCTTCGCCCGTGGGCTGCAGACAGGATGTTGTGTTCCCAGGCATGAAAACAATGTTTACCTCCTCCTCTCTCTCCATCTGAGCTCTTGGGTGACCAGGTGCATTTCAAGGAGCAATAATATTTTCAGCCTTTTGTGGGGGGCTTGAAATATTTAGTAAGCCATATGTTGTCACCCAGGCTTTGTTGTTCCATTTATAGAGCACAGGCAGAGTAGACTTGGCATCATTCTTAAGGGCCCTAGGATTTTTAGAATGGTAACTGCGCATTGGCTTTCACGTAAAGTTGCCAGTTGCATTAGCTATGAGGATAAGAGAGTCAGCCTGTTCTTTGAAGCTTTGAAGCTAGGTGTAGGTCTAACTTAGCTTCCAATGTGCCTACCTTGCCATGCTTCATCCTCCCTAGCATTGATTTAAAGTGAGAGCAATGCGACTCTTCCTGTCACTCGAGCACTTAGAGACCCCTGTAGAGCCAATGATTGACTGAATTTCAGAGTTTTTGTGTCCCAAGGAATAGGGAGACCAAGGAGAGGGAGGGAGACAGGTAACAGCCAGTCTGTGGAGCAGTCAGAACGCATGCATTTACCACGTAAGTGGGCACAGGTCCTGGGGCTGGAGGCAATCACAACAGTAACATCAAGGATCGCTGATTGCAGGGCCTCACAACAGAAACAGCAGTGATGGAAAAGCTCGGAAATGGCCAGAGCCACCGGAATGTGAGACAGGGACATGAAGTGAGCACACACTGCTGGAAAATGGTGGGTAGGGTCGCTGAATGCAGCATTGCCACCAACTTCTTGTTTGTAAGAAACTCACCTGGAAAGTGCAGTGAAGCAGAGTGCCCTGGCATGAGGGGCTCTGTCCCGCTGCGTTAGTTCGCTGTTCTCCTTGTGCCATGTTGGGTCTTTCTTTCCATAGATATGCTCTGTGGGACCATTTGAAAACATATCTCCTAACTCTTCACTTCTGAGAACTTCTGTATTTTCTAAGAGTAAGATATTCTCTTACATGGTGAAATATCATTTTCATGCTTAAGAAAGTGAAAAATCCCTAATCATCATAAAAACATTCTTTATAGTTGTTTGTTTGTTCGTTTCCAATCCAGGATCTAATCATGGACTAAGCCTTGTGTCAGTTTATTTTCTTTATTCTCTTTGAACCTAGACCAGCCCTCCCCACGCACCACTTTTTTTTTTTTTTTCTTCATTGTTCTGCCTTTATTTGAAGAGCCTTGCCTCTTGTTCTGTAGACCGTCTCATGTTCTGGTCTTGTCTGACACATAGTGGTGGTAGACTTGCTTCAGTATCCCTGTATTTCTTGTAAACTGTGAATTAAGTCCAAAGAGTTAAAATTGAATTTAGGTTGAAAAACGTCTTTGACAGGAGTGCTTCCTAGTGGCGCTCTGTGCTTCACATCGGGCTGGGTGTCCTCCCGGTGACGCTGCAGTTCCCACATGTAAGCTGGACCAGCCAGAGCGTGCCAAGGTTAAGATGCCTTTTCCCTTTTTATATCGACCCTGGCATGGCACTCTGATTCTCTGTGAGGGATCTTTTTTCCCCTTAATGATTCTAGCATGCCCTGCTGACCTGACTGAATCAAAGATGATTATGTGAGCATTGCAAAGTGGTAATATTCTGATTCTGTTGTTTTATCTGCATTTATTGGCTGACTTTTATCTGTTAAGAAATCTCCCAGGGCCTCCCTGGTGGCGGTGGCGCAGCAGTTGAGCGCTGGGTTGAGAAGCTGCCTGCAGCCTCTGCAGTGCCGGTTCGATCCCCGGCTGCTCCCCGGCCACCGGAGGAGGGTCCCACATGGCACGCAGACCTCTCCTGCCGCCCGCTGCTTCCCTCAGCAGTGTGCTTCGGTCCTTCTGCCTGCTCTGCTCCCCGCTCTGGCTCTGGTGAATTCTCTCACCCTCCCGCGCTTCTGACTGTACCCAGTGCTTGTATAAATAAATAAAAATAAATCTTTAAAAAAAAAAAAAAGCTCCCATTTACGAAATGTGTTTCATTTAGTCATTTATTTAATTATCACTGTGGACTTTGGGTGTTTTTTTTGTTCAAATATGTTATCAGTTGTATTTTTGATCCTTAGATTGTCCCAGACCTGGCTGACAGAGTCCTTTTTACTAGTTACCCTACTGTGGCCTCATTTGTAGCTGAGAACAAGGTGTTTCCAGTCTCACCCTGTACATTCTTTGCTCCAGGTCTGGAATACACCTTTATTCTCCAGGAATCTGCTTCATTTGAGTAGGGGCTGACATATAGGAACCAAGAGCGTGGCAGCAGGTGTGTTCTTGCCACTGGGATGTCTTTGCTTCTAGGCCTGGGCTGCTTCAAAGGGACCTAGGCTAGTGACATTGATAGTTAGATCCAGTTCAGCTAACTCTGTTCATTTTAACTCGTGTTTACAAGCCATGCAGCAGATAAAGAGATGAAAAAGGTGCATTTTTGTCAATGGCCAGGTTTATATTTGAGACTGAAAGACACTTGAATCATGACTCCATACAGAGCAAATGGCACTAAGCATTACAGTTAATACAGAGAATGGGAAATTGTTCTATTTTGGCTTTTCTTTTTTATTAAGAGAATAAGTTTCTATTAAAATGTACCCATGAGTCTCAGCAACTGGCTAGCAGGGTGTCATAGCCAATTCAATTCACTGTCTTTGCCTTTGTTGCCTCCTTCACTGGGTAAAGGTTAAATAAGAGAAATAAATGAAAGATACTCAGCACAGTGGCTGAGGGCTTTAGGTGCTCAAGGAATGGAGGGGTGGCGGTCTCTGTGAGTTGTCTCCCAGGCAGCCACACCTCACTGTCTCCTTCTCAGCACCACCTTGATTTTGTTCAGTACAATAGCTGTAATAATAATAATAGCAACTATTATTACTGTAACTATTATTGATTTAAAAAATTATTCTTGCTAGAGCTTAGTGAGCCTGTACCAGGAGATGTGGGAGAAAATGCAACCTTCTCTAAATCTGCTCTGCCTGTGAAGCCCGTGGAGATCGAGATCGAAACCCCGGAGCAGGCAAAGGCAAGAGAAAGAAGGTAAGTTTAGGCAATTGTTCTTAGAGTCCTGTCACACATAGTCAGCAACAGCTGCTACTTGATGAAAACATGTGAGAAACGCACAGGAGTCCAGGGCTGAGCATGCGGTTGTTCAGGAGCCTTTGGCGAGAGATCCCTGCTCACTGCTCAGACTTGGAAGACATACCTTTATGTCCTGGCTGGGGCGGGGGTGAGGAGAGGGAACTACTGTGTACTGAGCACCGGCTACATGCCCAGGACTCTCCAGCTTGCCCATTATCTTAGTCCTTAGGACAGTGTATCAATGAGGAGCTCAGGCTCAGAGAGGTTAAGTAACATTTAGGTCTCACTCGGCCAGTGAGTGGATGAGCCAAGATCTAAATCCCCGTCAGGTTACCTGAGCACTCATAGTTTTTCCACCACATCATGCAGCAGGACTAGAGGCATCCATGCTAGGGAGACCCCATTCCATCCCAGTGTCCCCAATCCTTCTGCAACCTCTTGGGAAGGTGGGGCACAATTCCTGACATAGGTTGCTTAGTTAATTCTACTCTGTGAAGGGCATATTATTAGGCATGAGGAGGGGATAGTAGGAGTCATGCAAGAAGTGTCCAGTGTTCCTGAAGATCACAGAACACAGACAGGAAGGGGATTTATACCAGAACAGCATCATACAAATGAGGTGCATTAATTTAACATAAAGGTAGGGGTGGCCAAAGAGAGATCAGTTGGGCAGTCAGGAAAGACTCACTGCAGGAGGGGAGCTTTGAGGTGTGTTTGAGGTGTGATTTGGTGCAGTTGGAAGGTGGGCAGTCTGGCTGGAGAATGTCCTGAGCTAAGGTTTGCAGGTGAGAAGGAGCAGGAAATGACTGGCATGTAGATTTGCTTGCAGAGCACAGGCTTATGTAGGAAAACAAGGAGCGGGATTCACTGACATTCTGAGTAGCAGGAATGTACCAGGGAAATGAATTGCATCTGGTTTCAATGTCCCCTTCATTCTTGGTTTTTTCAATCTGCATTGTAGTGAAAAGATAAAAATGGAGTTTGAGACATATCTTCGGAGGATGATGAAACGTTACAATAAAGAAGTCCATGAGAACACACACAAGGTAAGGATGGGAAAGGCAGGGCAGGGCGGCTTGCTTTGCGTCTGCACAGGCGGTGTGGAGGAAGATGCAAGTCCTTCGTCTCATCCAGGTCTAATTTCTGACTCAATCGCCATGTGACCTTGGCACATTTCTTACTCTCTCTGAGCCCTGGTTTCCTCATCTTTGAAGTGGGGGTGGTGTGTGAACACAGTGTCTGCCTGGGAAGGTGGTCATGAGGATGAAGCAAATGCTGTATGTGAAGCAGGTAGCATGGTGCCTGTAAGATGCAAGGGGCTGACTGATAGGCAGCCTCCACCCATCCCTTCTTCCAGTTTGGTAACATGTTAGTCCTTTATCTTAGTCCTTAGGACAGTGTATCAATGAGGAGCTCATGCTCAGAGAGGTTAAGTAACATTTTAGGTCTCACTCAGCCAGTAAGTGGATGAGCCAAGATCTAAATCGCTGTCAGGTTACCTGAGCATGGGTGGTTTTTCCACCACATCATGTAGCAGGACTAGAGGCTGAGGCCATTCTGGTCTCAGCGAACCTCCTGGCTTTTGACTTCAGCTGGTGGTTACTGAACAGGTGTTATAAACCTAGCAGGTTGCTCACATTGTGACCATAGAGACTTGTATAAAGCTTATCTCCTTCTACTACAGGGTTTCTGATCTCACAGATGGAACCGGAAAGATCTTAAGACAGCTATTCAGGATTGAGAAAACGAAGGAGATGTGTGTGGGTCAGAGCTGCTGAGGAAGGCTCTTCAGGATAAAGGGCAACATGGAGCGGACGGGAGAGGACAGGAGGCCAGCAGACTACTCTGGTCGAATTGTGGAGGGGCAGGGTGGGGTGCCAGCTTGCGTGCATCTGTGGTGGATGTGGGCAAGATGAAGGGCACACTCTGATTTTCCGCTGATGGACAGCTGGCAGCCAGCGAGGGTAGCGAGGGGGTGGACAGAAGAGATACTGTGTGCAGCAGAAGCAGGGCGGTGGTGAGACCACGTGCGAGATCGCTGTGCTCCTTTCCTCTCTTGATTGGAAATAGAGGTGAAAGAAAGTGAAAAATGAACAGGACGCCAGGATTTGAAACTTGTAGGAGGGGAGAAGGGTGGAGCCACTGACCGAAATGGGGAGTGTGGAAGTGGGGAGGAAGGAAGGGAGGTTTGGAAGGGGAAGGGGTGCAAAGCTATGTGAGAGCGGGGAAGATGGTTTCACTGTCATTTCTGCAGGCTGAAGGGCGGGGCTGGAGGGCTTTGAGGGCCTGCTGTGGAGAGGTGGGCATCACACACAGAAGTGGAGGGATCAGAGCTCTACAGTCACTAGTGCTTAGATTTTCTCTTCTGCTCTGCAGGGCAAGCCCTCTTAATAAAAAGTTTGTATTTTGAAGCTTTGAGATTTCATTATTTCTTGAGGGTTGAATATCGGCAAAGAAAAGGGTATGAAAGCCTTAGGAAATGGCATTAGTATTTTTCCTTTCTTAAATTTAGAAATGACAATACTTACTTCCTGCCCACAGAATAACTTGTAATTTGGCTGCAAAAGTCTGGACCTCTGTCTATGCCTCCCCATTTCTGTCTCCCCAGGTTCACCTTCTGTGTCTATTAGCTAATGGCTTCTACCGAAATAGCGTCTGCATGCAGCCAGATCTGCTGGCCATCGGCCTCTCCATCATCCCTACTCGCTTTACCAAAGTGCCTCCTCAGGATGTGGATATCTGCTACCTGTCGGACCTGGTGAAATGGTAGGGCCTGGGCCTGTCTTGCAGCTCCTCACAGGAGGACTGGTGTGTCTTGTGGGTGGGTGCAGGCTCCTCCACAAGACCTGGCCCCGTGTACCAGGCAGAGGCAGGGGCAGGGTCCGAGACAGAGCAGGCCAGGCCTGATCCCCTCCCTAGAAGAGCTCCCGGCTGGTCAGGGGACAGACATCCCCAAGGAGTTAGAGTGGTGTGACGAGTGCTCTGGGATAATGTGCTGGGAACTCAGGACTAATCTCAGCTAGAGGGTCTGGGAAGACTCCCCAGGGAGTGAAGTCGAGTTGGTCTTCAGTGCTGAGTAGGCATTAGCTAGAGAGAGCAGGCAGACTTGAGCAGAGATAGGTGAGGCTCACCCACAACTTCCTCCTGAGATGTCCCCTTCTGATTTTCTTGTCTGTAAAAGGACAGAGTTCCCCTTTGAGCCTTGACCTCTGACCCAGGAAGTGCCTGTCTCTGTCTAGGTTCATTGGAACGTTTACAGTTAATGCAGAGCTTTCCACCAGTGAGCAAGATCACCTGCAGACTACCTTGGAAAGGAGGTTTGCTATCTACTCTGCGCAAAATGATGAAGAATTGGTCCATGTGAGTGACTCCTCCTTCCTGGCAGCACTATTTAATTATCACACTATTAGCTAATGATGATGGCAGTCATAGGCCAGACACCATTTAGGCATTTCACATGTTTCCTTATTCAGTCCTTATTAAAAAGGGGGGAAAAAAATAGGCACCGTAGCTGGGAAAGGCTTGATGACTGTCTTAAGGACTGGAGAAATTCCCTTCCTTTTTTTTAAAAAAAAGATTTATTTATTTATTTATACAAGCACTGGGTACAGTCAGAAGCACAGGAGGGTGAGAGAATTCTCCAGAGCCAGAGCGGGGAGCAGAACAGGCAGAAGGATCAAAGTACACTGCTGAGGGGAGCAGTGGGCACGCAGGAGAGGTCTGCGCGCCATGTGGGACCCTCGCCTGGGGCGGGGGATCGAACTGGCGCTGCAGAGGCTTCAGGCAGCTTCGCAGCCCAGCGCTCAACTGCTGAGCCACCAGGGGAGGCCCTGGAGAAGTTCCCTTCTTTTTCTCGTTTTTTGAGTGATTTTGTCATGGAAGTATGTTGAATTTCATCAGATATTTTTTCTGTGCCAATTGAAACAATCGTAATTTTTCTTTTTATTCTAGTTGATAACCGACTGGGTCATGGTATAGACCCTGTTGCTATGCTGTTGGTTTGCTAGTATTTTGTTGAGGGTTTTTTCATCTATGTTCCTAAGAGACGTTGGTTGCTCATTGTTGCTATTTTGGGGGTAAATTCCTTGAGGAGGCTCCCTTCCTTACAAGTCAATGGAATTTTTAGAACTCCAGCCTCCATTGGAAAGACTCAGGGGAAAATGGAATACAGGGATGGACTTCAGTAATCTGATGATTACCAATTGTAATTGGTAATTTGTATTTCCAACTCAAATAATGAGTTGGAAAGTGTTCCCTCTGCCTTCTGTTTTTTGGAAGAGCTTGAGAAGGATTAGTGCTAATTCTTATTTAAATGTTTGGTGGAATTCACCAGTGAAACCATTTAGTTCTGGACTTTGTTGGGAGGTTTTTGATTTTTGATGCAGTCTCGTTTTAGGTCTATTTAGATTTTCTACTTTTTCATGAGTCACTTTTGTCTATTTATATGTTTGGAGGATTTTTCTGTGTCATGCGGTGATCTAATTTGTTAGCTTAGAAGGCATGCAGTTTGTGACTTTAATCTTTTTTTCCTCTTTTTTTTTTTTTGGGTGGGACCCTCGCCGGAGGCTGGGGATCGAACTGGCACTACAGAGGCTGCAGGCAGCCTCACAACCCAGCGCTCAACCGCTGCGCCACCAGGGAAGGCCTTCTTTTTTTCCTCTTCACCATACATTAACAGGTGGTCGTGAAAGGCGGTGACCGGGAAAGGTGGTGACTGGGGATATTTGGGCAGCACTGGGCTGTGCCAGAGCACTGTCACACGCGTGATCTCAAGTGACCCTCTTTCTGGTTCTGTGAGGAAGATGAGGCCATGTTCTAGGGATCGTTGTAGATGAAGGAATCTAGGTTTAGAGAAGTCCCTCAGCCACTTGTTGACTGCCCAGTCACACAGAATCCAGACCTGGGCACCTGTGCCCACCCGGGTACCAGGAAACTGAAATCAATACTTACAGCTTGTGCCAGTTCATTCTTGTGCTCTGAACTGAGCTGGAGATATTATTTGGATTTCCCACAGTGCCCTGCTTCTGTTCCAGGATCCAGCCCAGATTATAGTGTTTGGTTGACCTGTCTCCTTAGTCTCTTCCAGTCTGTATCAGCTCTCAAGTCTTTCCAAGTTACCCTTTCTGACCTCGATCTTTAGGAGAGTACCTAGGAATTTTGCAGTGTCCCCCATTTTGGGTTTCTTTGATGTCTTCCATTCCCTCTGTTTTTAACTCCAAAAGAAACAAGATAAAAATAATTATTTTTCTGAAGTTAACATGGCTTTTCACAGAAAATCTGCCTTCCAGCTTCTGGTCTTCACCGCCGGCTTTCTTATAGGCATGACAGTAGTCAGAGGAGGCATCGGGGCTCTCAGATCTGTGTAGAAAGATCTTGTGTGAATGCATTCTCATTGTTGCTATTTTGGGGGTAAATTCCTTGAGGAGGCTCCCTTCCTTACAAGTCAATGGAATTTTTAGAACTCCAGCCTCCATTGGAAAGACTCAGGGGAAAATGGAATACAGGGATGGACTTCAGTAATCTGATGATAATATGATGTTTTCTACTTTTCCTTCCCAAAGTGATTTTTCATTTTATTATTTTAATCGCAATGTTGAGCACACAACAATTAGAAGATATGTAAGTTAGGGGGAAAAGCCTATCTGTAAACACGCACTACCCAGTATACAGATCCTTTTCCAAATAGATGTGTATATTTATATTTACGTACAGTTTTTTCTTATAAAAGTGAACATCACACTTTGAAAAAACTTCTCTTTTCCCCTGACATGGAGGTAGAAAGATGAATCTGTGCAGCAGCGTTTTCACCATGTCTAGGTTGCAGTTTCCTGTTAGACGCTTTGGTGTTTCTGACTTTCCTTGTTAGAAGAAAGCACCACAACCAACAACATTGAATTAGTTAAATCCTTAGTTCTTTTCTTAGGGTAAATATGTTCTTTCTCACTGTAGATATTTTTACTGATTCTCCGGGCCCTGCAGCTCCTGACCCGACTGGTATTATCTCTACAGCCAATTCCCCTGAAGTTGGCAGCGGCAAAGGTGAGGTCCTCCGTGTTCCAGAGGAAGGGGTGGTGGCCAGGTGGGAATGAGACAGCAGCCTTAGACACATCGGTTGCTGGACTGTCTGTGAGGGTGGTGTGTGGTGGGCCTGCCTGCATACACCTGTGGGGAGGGCGGGGCACAGGTGGGAACCTGGTAGCATGCTCTAGCTCTTGCCTCCTCATTGCTTTGGTTTCTATTCTGCTTCCTCACCAGCCCTTAGGGCGATGGCAGTTGACAGACTGATTCTGAGATCATCTAAGGAGGCCAGACTCTGCTCCTTGAACAGCTCACTCAGTTGGAGACCTGAGGGTCCAGAATTCAATAATCTATGTATTTTTAAAACTATAATTTTATTACGTTCCTACGCACTTGTCTGCAGATTGCATCATGTCCAAGATGGGTATTGTTATTGTTGAGGAAATGGCAACTTAGGGGTTACTTGGTTTGCCTGAATCACATGACAGATATGAGGCAGAATGGGAATTGGAACCAGGTTTATTGTTTCTGCACCCTTTTCCTACACTACACTTTAGGGTGAAAAGAATTATATTGTGGCCTCCTTTTGGGGGCTGTAGATCTTAGCAAACACTTTCTTAAAGGGTAAGAAGGATAGCCAACCCATCAGTGTCTGAGCTGGGGACGTCTGTACCTGGCTCTCTGCCCAGTGACTTAGCCCTGTTAAATTCCTGGAGCATTGGCCTATCCTTAGCAAACAAGTAAAAACAAACTTTCCTGTTCTGATTAAGGGAAAGAAACCATCTAAGGAGAAATCCACAGAGGGTGCTGGAAGTTCCTCAGAAACTTCTAACCCACTTCCAGAAAACCAGACCAAACCAAAGACCAGCATAGGAACCAGACGAGAGGGGCCTTCCTCTCAGGGCCCAAGTGCCAAAGGGAAGAGGAGCCGGGCAGCTGGGAAGAAACGGAGACAGCCCTCATCCAGTGAGGAGGAGGAGGAGGAGGGCGAGGTGGGGGAGTCTGAAGAAAACCCCAGACGCCTGCCTGTCCGGGAGCGGCGGGTGGCCCCCAAGGTGTCTTACAAGGAGGCAAGTGGGAGTGACGAGGCCGGCAATGACTCTGACTTCGAGCTTTCCAGCGGGGGCGCCCATCATCCATCTGACGAGGATTCTGAGCCTGGTACTGTGAGGCAGAGGGCCCCGGCCCTTCCGAGGAGAAAGGCCCGGTCTCAGAGTGATTCCAGGACCCCACGTGGAAGCCACCCTCAGCACCCAGGCTTTCCAGCAGCTTCTGCAAGCTCTTCGAGTAGTCAGAGTAAGAGAGGCAAGAAAATTTCCAGTGAAGGTGAGGAGGTAGGAGGTGGGCAAGCAGCTGGTGTAGACCAGTGGCTCGAGGTGTTCTGTGAGCAGGAGGAAAAGTGGATGTGTGTGGACTGTGTGCATGGGGTGGTGGGCCAGCCTCTGACCTGTTATAAATACGCCACCAAGCCCATGACCTACGTGGTGGGCATTGACAGTGAAGGCTGGGTCCGGGATGTCACCCAGAGGTACGACCCAGCTTGGATGACGGCGACCCGCAAGTGTCGGGTTGATTCTGCGTGGTGGTCTGAAACCTTGAGAGCATACCAGAGCCCGCTGGTGGACAGGGCAAAGAAAGAAGACCTGGAGGTAAGGCCTTGGCCGTCACAGACTCGGACCCAATCTCAGTCGGGTTATTGAATTTGCTCCCACTTTTCAGCACCTTATGTGTGCCCTGCCTGTGGTGGGTATTTTCAGGGTGGTGCTTAATGATTGCAACAACACTGTGAAGCTGGGGTAGGAGCTGAGAGACTAGCTGACTTGGTATCTGAACCCAGGTCTATCTGACTTTGAAGCCTGTCTTCTTTGAGTTATAGCACAGTTATAAATTTGGAGTCTTAAACCAATGTATACAAGTCACAGTAGCTGGTGAAAGAAGAAAGTCTCCTCCTCTGTATGATGGCCATAGCCCCCTGCCCCAGCTCCCAGCAGCATGCTCATATGAGCCCACAGACGTGCCTGCTGGACCAGAACACTCCTGAGGGGGCAGACGGGGCTTGGAATGAGGAGCTGTCTCCAGTCAGTGTGCAGGCAGGCCCACAGGGAAGCAGACTTCTGAGTAAAACCAAGCACAGCTGGGCACCTGGCCCTGTACCAACCACTGACCAGGAGGAGGCCTGAGCTGCCTGTGCCCTGCATTGTGTTGGGGGCACTGGCATTTTATACGGAGTATGCCCAGAGTTGCCGAAGCCCCTCAGTACAGGTTAAGTGTTTCTGAGAGCTGGGTGCATCTTCCCCATCCTGTGCTCCCTGTTCATTTTACCTAGAAAATACAGGTTACATGGTAGCTGTGCAGGTGGCCTTGTGCACGCACTGGTGAAAGTACTTACCTCAGAAGGTGACTGTGCGGCAGGGCCTCCTGCTCTGGGCTGCATGGCATGGCCGATCCTCACCTGCCTGTCCAGGGTTTTGAAGAGATGCTAAAGGAAAACTTAGGAGACCGTGCTGAATAGGAGTGACTCATTCACCGAGGGGTCACTGTCCCTGAAGCGGTGCCAAGAGGACGTGCGTCAGTTACGGTGCACTAAGGAAAGGTGCAGGGTGGGAAGAATCTGTTGTGGTGGCCCGCGAGAGCAGAGCCTGGTAAACCCACGCTCAGAGCAGTGTCATCCCTTTGGGACAGGGCTCCTGAGGGACACTAGGGGCTTCCTGGTCCCTCTAGTACAGCGGGCTCTGTTCTGGGAGGGGCTGGCTCAAGTGTCTCAGGGCTGGGCAGAGGTTGGGTGGAGGTGCCACGAGCCACAGAATTCCTTGATTCTTCATAGCTTTCGATTTCCGAAATCTTCCTGTGTGGCCCTAGCCAGAGCAGCGTGTCAGCTGCCTGTGCTCCTGCACCACTGCTCTGCCATCTGTCTTCAGAGCCAGTTGGGGTGAGGATTGCCCTCCCCAGACCTCACGTCTTCTGAACGCTATGCTGACTGTTGTCTCTTTGGCTTCTGCAGTTTCAGGCAAAGCACCTAGGCCAGCCTTTGCCCACTTCCATCGGCACATACAAGAACCACCCCCTGTATGCCCTGAAGAGGCATCTCCTGAAGTACGAGGCCATCTACCCTGAGACTGCTGCCATCCTCGGGTACTGCCGCGGAGAAGCGGTCTACTCCAGGTGCGTGAGGTAGCCCACTGGCTTCCTTCCCCCAAAGATAGGCAGTCCCAGTTAGCTCTTGCCTAACACAGTTAGGCTTTGCTCAGAAGTGGGGCTTTGCTTTGCTCAGAAGTGGGGCTTTGCTTTGCTCAGAAGTGGGGCTGCTCCAGGGCGTGAGGTGGAGCCTGGAAGGGAGTCACAGCTGCCCACTTCTCCTGCATGGTTGGGGGGCTCTTCTGGCCTGCAGTTCCTGTGCAGCCGACACTCCATCAGGCGGCTATGAACTGAGCTTGTCCTCTGTCTGCAGAGATTGTGTGCATACCCTGCATTCCCGGGACACGTGGCTGAAGCAGGCAAGAGTGGTGAGGCTGGGAGAAGTGCCTTACAAGGTACCTAGGGCTGGGGGGCCGGTCCTCTGAGCGTAGCAGGGCATCAGCTGAAGGCAGAGGAGTAGGGGCCAAGGGCTGCCAGTCACATGCCAGTATTGGATTCCAGAATGGCGCCCCTGTCCTAAGAGGGATTTGAGGAGAAATGCATTTAAACTAGCTCTGATTTTAATGAGAATTTGTAAAAGCAGCCCTCAGATTCCTGTTTGTGCTCCAAAACTCTGTAGACAGAACCATGTTAGTGAGCACTTTTGAGCTGGGCTTTGCTGATACGTCCACCAGTCATCACCACCCTCCCATGTGATTTCCACAAGTCTCAGCAACTTCGAGTTGGCATTAAAGACCAGAAAACAGGAGTTCAGTAAGGCAAAGTGATTTGTCAAAGGCCTTCCAGTGAGTGACACGGCAGCGGCTGGGCAGAACCCCAGACCCTGCCTCCCACAGGTGACTGCTCTCTCAAATGGTGCTGCTGAGGCGGTTGGCAACTGTGAGAAACATGAATCCTGTGCAGTGGGGGACGGTCACGGAGACACTGGCTTCTCTGTCCATCCCTGAGAGGAGCCCTCTGGGGTTGTGCCACCGGGGAGCTGGGCCGGGGTTGACACCAGAGGCCTGTCGAGTGTCACTAGGAGTGAGCACCCCTGCAGCTTGGACTTGAGGTCTCCCAGGGACCCCCACTCTCTCTTATGTTCCTTATCTGTTCTTTTTAGAATAGTGCTGTCTGATAGAAATGTAATGCCAGCCACACATTTAAATTTCTTAATATCCAATGAAAATCTTAAAGAAGCAGATGGAATTTCAACATAGCGAATGAAGTATACTGAAATACATCTAATTACATGTCATTTCAATATTTAATGTTTTAGAATAATAATGAGACATCTTACTTTTTTTCTTTGTTTCAATGAAGGCTTCATATTCTTGTGTGTTTGGCTTCACATTCTAGTGTGTATTTGACTTTCGATACATCTCAGTTCAAATTAGCCACATTTCAGGTGTGCTTTGGCCACATGAGCAGTGGCTGTCATGTTAACATCATTCTAGAATAATCCCACATCTGAAGTCCGTCCATTTTTGAGCCCCATTGTCCACCTTCATCTCTGCTTCATCATCTCTTGATGATTCCCTCCCTGGTGCCTGGGCCCTGCCTCTCCAGACCATATGTCAGTCGTGGGATCTTTAGGAACAGCTCCGTGTCCCTCCCTAACCACGGATCTTAAGTTACCTCACCTCTGAGGCCCAGTTTCCCTTTTGGTGATGGAAGCGTAGATGGTGGGACAGGGTCAGCCCAAGCACTTTGCCTCCAGCTGGCCAGCAGTGGAGCCTGTACTGCCTGGGGTGGGCACTTGGTAACTGTAAGTGGTGCCGGTGGCACTAGAGACACCAGGTGTATTAGCACCAGTCACCATGAAAGGGGATGAAAAGTCAGCCACTGGGTAGTGGGGCTGAACGAGGTAGTGGGTGTGGGGGCCTAGAACACAGGAAATGCTGGCCTGTGAAGAGCACCTGCTTCCTCCGGCCCAGATGGTGAAAGGCTATTCCAATCGGGCACGGAAGGCCCGACTCGCTGAGCCCGAGCTGCGGGACCAGAATGACCTGGGCCTGTTCGGCCAGTGGCAGACGGAGGAGTACCAGCCGCCCGTGGCTGTGGACGGCAAGGTGAGGATCCTTTTGGTGGGGTCAGGCAGCCTCTGTCTGCTGCAGTTGCCAGACCTGGTGTGTCTCCTCTGCAGGTCCCTCGGAATGAGTTTGGGAATGTGTACCTCTTCCTACCCAGCATGATGCCTGTTGGCTGCGTCCAACTAAGGCTGCCCAACCTGCACCGTGTGGCGCGCAAGCTGGACATCGACTGCGTCCAGGCCATCACTGGCTTTGATTTCCATGGAGGCTACTCCCACCCAGTGTGAGTAAGCACCACTCTGGGGAGGTTGCAGGGACAGGGTGGGAAGTTAATGGGGGGGGGGGGGGGGATAAAGCCTCAGGGCCCTATTTCCAAGGTTTTGGCTCGATTTCTCTTTTACTGTTAACACCTTTATACACTTGTTTGTACGTTTACTCTGGCTCTCATCTAGAGGCAGCAAAACCAATGAAAACGAGCCTTCTGACAGTGCTGGGTTAGAACACCATTCCTGGGGGTGGCCACAGGCAGCCTTAGTCCAGCTGCACAGCAGGGAAGGAGGGCTCTTGGGGAAGAAGGTGCAGTGCCAGTGTCCGCAGGCCTGCCTATGCCTGGGTGTCATCTGCTGGCAGCTGTGGCAGGGATTGTAGACCCAGGATCCTTCAGGGCCTGAGTGTTCACAGAGGCCCGCTGACCTCTGAGGGTGAGGCGTTGAGGCAGAGCAGGTAGCAGGCTCCAGGCAAACCCTCTGTTTTGTCCCCACAGAACTGACGGATACATAGTCTGTGAGGAATTCAAAGATGTGCTCCTGGCTGCCTGGGAAAATGAGCAGGCGCTTATTGAGAAGAAGGAAAAGGAGGTAAGCAGCCCTGCCGGGTGACCCTCCACAAGGCCTGAGCTGGGACAGCAGAAGGTAGAGTGGGGGGAGCAGGCACACACAGTGGGACCACCTTCCTCCTCAGGCCTCGCCTGCCGAGTGTAAGAGGAAAGGGTCCATGTGCGTCTAAGTGCCTTCCAGCCTCTGATCCTATAGAAGGTATGCTAGGGAGCCACAAAGCAGGGTCCTGCCTCCATCAGAACCCAGTGTCATTGCCACGTCAGGAATTGCTGCCCCGTGCCGACACCAGCCTCTGTTGAGGGAAGGCATGGGTCCAGTTCTGGCCAACTTACTCCAGAGTCAGTGTCAAGTAAAGGAGATCTGTTGGGTTGAGACGCTGTCTCTGAACCAAAGATATTTCGTGTACTCTGAGTTCATGGGTCCCGTCTGGACATTTCTCCGAAACCAGCGCTTCTTAAAACTTCAGTCTTCTCCATTTCTTTTTGCTGCAGAAAAGGGAGACACGGGCTTTGGGGAACTGGAAGCTACTGGTCAGAAGCCTGCTCATCAGGGAGAGGTTGAAACTGCGCTATGGGGCCAAGGTCAGTGGGGGCCCTTTGTACAGCTGAGCCCTGCTGGGCTGACACCTCTGACCAAGCCATAGGCCTCTGTTACATGGATGTCGCAATTGCCAGTGTCCAAGGCCCATGGCCTGTTCTTGGGAAGGTGTGCCTGAGTCAGCCTCAGATGGCTCTTCTGACCCAGCCCTGCCTCAGCATGCCCTTGTCAGCTCCTGTCTGCAGGGTGAGCCCCTCAGTAGGTCCCATCTGGTGTCAGACCCATACTCATATGGGAAGGCCTGGAACCAGTGTCCTGTTTGACTCATGCTCAGCCTTCTGATGAGGTGGCTATGGCCCTCCTTGGGCTGAATGCTCATCTCATCTACCTCTCATGACTCCTCCGAGGGCAGGCCAGGCTGTCCACTCACGTGCCACTCTGACCTGACACCCTCTGGGGGTCCCATCTGGAGGCAGAGAGGCCTCTACACAGTTCTGTAGTGTGTTCAGTGCTGGGTCGGGGACAGTGGAAGCGTGTTGTGGGAGAAGCTGTGACCATGCCTCTGTGGCCCCCTTCCCCAGCCCCCCACACTGCCTATTTGTCTGTGAAACTGTTTTTGTTCTCCTCCCTTAAACTCCCTTAGTGGCCCCTTCACAGTGTTATGTACTGACCGACTCCCACCTGTGCTTTTGCCCCCTGCGCCAAACCCTCACCATCCTCAGAGCACCTGGTACTGAGGGCTGGTATTCTGCACTTGGGCGTTGGACATATGCTCTCTTGCTCAGAATGAAGAAATGCAGAGACCCACTTTGGCCCTAGACTCGACTGCATGCTTCTCCAGGGCATTTCCTGTCTGGACCGCTTTGTGTCCCACACTGAGTGCTTGGCAAATTCTCTGGTGTCTGCTGGGAAGAGCCACCATTCTGAGGCAGGCTCAGACCAGGTGGCTCTTGCCGGTTCCAGGCAGAGCCTCATCCTTCCAGACACAGCTCTGAGAGGCCTTTGCTGGGAGCTTTACTGCCAGCGGCACTTCCTGGAGCCTGATCACTGACCCAAGTCTCCCCCTCTGACCTCCTCTCCAGAGTGAGGCCGCTGCTCCCCACACAGATGCAGGAGGTGGCCTCTCGTCTGACGAAGAGGAGGGAACTAGCTCTCAAGCGGAAGCTGCCAGAATCCTGGCTGCCTCCTGGCCTCAAAACCGAGAGGCTGAAGAAGAACAGAAGCCAAAGTGCCCTAAGAAGACCAAAAGGGGAAAGAAGGAGGCGGCTTCTCACCTGTTCCCATTTGAGAAGCTGTAATGTGAGTGGTTACCATGGTGCAGGCCTCATGCCTGTCCTGGGGTATGGCATCTCCCTCAGGAAGGCACAGAAGTGGCCTGCACTGCAGACAAGGACTAGGGGACAGAAGGGCCACATGGAAATGGCGCAGGCCTGCTCTGGCTCCAGTCCTTGTGGGATACAGCCGGGGTAGGGTTTCCTAAGCTCCTGACTACCTTATGCTTTCAGCTACAGAACATTCCCCAGAGACTCTCGTGTTATCCAGCCCCTTACCTCACATCTTTGGGAACAGGAGTCGGTTCTTTCATAGACACCACTGGGGAATCTTGGGGCATTTAGGGACACATCTGTCCATTCTTCAGGTAGATTATTCTTCTGTTGGGCATTTGTGCTCATCTCTCTGGCCAACTTGGGAGCCTCTCTGTAGGCCACACACTTTTCCCTCAATCAGGTTTTCTGTGCTACCTACTGCTGCCTCTTTGTAGAGTGGGAGAGCACGAGTGGGAAGTAAGGTTCACTCAGATCATGGTATTGTGGGGTGGGATCTACTTTTTGAACATTTCAGAAGATTAGAACAAGCTAAAATCAGAAAAGGGAAAATAGGAATTGAAAAAGAAATGTAACAGGATCAGTGTTCAATTAGATTTTGTTACTGGATTAATTTATAAAGCTCTATGCACTGTAGATAGTCAACAGAAATAACTTTTATAAGTTGAGAAAAATTAAAGCAATTGTCCAAAAAGCCTTGGCTCTGCATTTTCATTCAGATTTGGGATATCCTTGGATGACAGTGATTTGTGCATGTCAAGTCTGTGATAACTTCTGATTGTTCTTATGTAGGCTGGGAACTCAGCACACACGGAATTTCCTTCTGTGTTTAAGTGAGGAGATATTACTTAATTTGACAGGAGACATTAAAAACGTGAGCCAGTTTTAGCCAAGGGAAACAAAACACTTGGGCTGTGACTCACATAGCAAGAGTGGCCAGAAGGCCTTGTTGAGAAATAAATGGTGTCATGGGAATTGTGGCTGGGCACTTCCTGCCCTGGCCCGTACTCTCCTGCGGGTCAACCACTTGTTTTTTGGGAATGAGTCAAGACCATCACCCTGTCTCTGCAGAAGGAACTTGGTGTTCTGGCAGATTCAGCTTCTAGGAGGTATTTTGGAAATGAAATGAAGCACTGGGTTTCAGAAATAAAAGAGCAGGTTGGGGGATGTTATGACACTGCTTCAAACCTTGTATTTGTAACAAAAAGTATGCAAATTGCTAGCTGCAGAGTGGACAATTAGCAGCTCACCACCTTGGAGGCAAAGAGAATAAAAAATATTACTGTTCAGGCATTTCATGGTCTTTATCATTTAGTCCTCACCGCACCCCCGTGAGGCAGGAAGGCATTGTGCCCCATTTTACAGATGAGGAAACTGAGACTCAGTGATCACTGACTTGTCCAAGGTCACACAGCCAATCAGTGGCAGGCTTGGGGCTGGGGCTCTGGTCTGCTAACCCAAAGCCTAGGGTTCCCCCACCCCACCCTTCCTGGCACATGGTGAAGGTGGATGAAGTATGACTCATTCACTTTCAATAAGTCCAGAACAAACAGGTTTTGGTATGTAATCCATCTAAAGGCTAGGAATATTCACTTTAAATAAGCAACTCAGTTTTTAAAAATCTCACAGTTCTGGGCCTCCCCTGGTGGCGCAGCAGTTGAGCGCTGGGTTGTGAGGCTGCCTGCAGCCTCTGCAGCGCCAGTTCGATCCCTGGCCACCGGCGAGGGTCCCACAAAAAACAAACAAACAAACAAAAAAAACCTCACAGTTCTCAGTAAATTCAATATAATAGAAATTTTAGAAACTACCAGGAAAAAAAAAGGTGCTTGTATGGGAATAACAGCAAGGTCCTATACCAAGATATTTTTAAATTTATTTTGAATTTTTATCAAAAATACAAAGAATACAAATTTCATGATTATTTTCCAAAGACACCAAATGTTTTTTTAACATAATTTGCTCTTAGGAACACTTTTGAAATTGACAGTAATTTAAAATAAGTACAAGAAAAAAAGTCACACAGACCAAATTCCAAGCATCTTGAGTTTAGCCACCAGCTAGCTATACTCTTTTCCAAAGGCATCCTTGGAGGATTTAAAGAGTTGATGAAACTGCTCCTAATGAACAGCAGTGAATACTATTTCAGCCCTTAAGCCCAGATAAGTCATTTCTGGGGCTGTTTTTTAATATGGGGGATCCCAGTTGATAGCATAGATACCCCAGGACAAGACATTACTACTAGATTATTAGTTTTGAAAGTTCTGACCCTTTGTTTAACTACCAAATACTTACTTGCTAAAGCAAACCATACCCAGGAAAACAAAGGCTGTGAGGATATTTAAGACAACAGGTTATCACATACTTTCTCTTTCACAAGGTGTGAGAGCACTTGGGAAACTAAGGAATTAATATGAAGTAAGCAAGCACACATTTATTTAGGAAGAGTAAAGCTGTGGACGAGTAACAGATGAAACCAGGCCCTGAAGCAGCCACTTGAGGCTGATGCCGAGGCCGAGAGCCCCAGGACGGAGGCGCCAGGTGGGGCCCTCTCCAGCAGCCTCAGCTGCTGATGCTCCATTTGGTTAGCAGGGGGTCACCAGGAAGGGGCCCACTTGGCATAAGGAAGCTTCCAACTTTGTCCTTAATTGGTTAACTTAAAAACTTAGTCATCTTCAAGTAAAGAGTTTCTGAAGCCAGAGGATGAAAGGCAGGGCTTTTCTCGCCCTGTAGCCATTCCCCATTGCCTCCTCGAGTGAAGATAACTCCTTTGCTACTTGTTTCAAAAGCATGTGAAAGCTTCCCAGTGACCCGGAACACTAACAGGTAACTTTTTTCCAACCGTGTATATTACACCCCCATTTAACACCTTTTTGAGCTCTGAATTGACTTCAACTGACTAGAAAAAGGGTGCTTTTCTGTAACAGTCTGAAATGGTAATCACTCAGGTTTTTTGTTTTTAAAATCTTTTTCCCAACAACTTCCTCCAGGGGGAGAGTAGAAGGAAAAGGTGAAGTAACAGAGAGAAAATGAACCAGGGCTTTGCAGAGCCACTCACTTGACAGGTCCTGCCAAACTACAGAATACCGGGACAGCCCAGTAAATGTCCGTTTTCCTCTTCATGCCACCTTCAGTGGTTTTCCTGTTTTAAGCGCCAACTCAAGTTGTAGCCACAAACTTGGCATGGTGGGGATTGTGCTGATCAGTCAATCTCAGTGATGCTGGGACTAACAATTGCTAAGCGTGGCTCTGCAGCATCATGGCGGGTGCAGTTGCTGCCTCCAAGAATGAGGGACAGGGAGTGATGGGACAGCAGGTGCAGTATGTCGACGCCTTGTCTGCAGACACTGGCTTGGTGAAACATGAACCGGCCACTCGGTGAGTTCCCAGGAGAAGGAAAGAAACAAGCGGAGAGCTCGTTATGCTGCTAGGCAAGAGCTGCCCTCTGCTCCAAAGCTGCTCACTGGCAAGAAAGGAGTGGGGAAGACGTAACTGCAGGACACCAAACACGAAACACACATGCGCACTGTCGGCCAGGCCTTCTGAAGAGCAGAGTGGGTGCAGAATCCAAAACTGATCCGGGTTCGTACCCCGGGTGTGGCGCTTGAAGGGGGTGGGGTGACCTGGATCCTGAGGTCCTAGGATCCATGTGGGTTTCGGTGGCTGCCAGGGCTTGGCTCACTCCAGTTTTTTGGCAGGCACCCGGGTCCGAGCGATAATGATGGGCACCACGGCCAGGGAGCCAATGAAGAGGGCCCACAGGGGCCGGTAGAAGAGCCAGCCAGCAGCCACGGTCAGCAAGGTCAGCGAGGTGGCCACACAGAAGGCAAAGGCTTTCAGGCCAATGTTGACCAGGTCTCGGAAGATGGGGAACCAGTCCACTGCGGGGGAGAGAAAGGCAGTGAGGCCACCATGCTCTGTTTCACGAGGTCAGCAATGGCTCCTGCCTCCAGACAAGGCTGGACCCTGGCTGCAGGTGGGTAAGGGGAGAAAGGGTAATAGTGGAAAGCAGACCCCCTCCCTAGGGAGAGCTGGAAGATCCAGAAGAGCAGGAAGCTGTGTGGTTGGGCATCCAGCACTGTGAGAAGGCAGGGAAGTGCTTTCTAAACTTGGCCTGTTCACGCACACTCACCAAGGAGCAGTGCCGTTATCAGCAGGGCCCAGAGACTGGCCCAATAGGATAAAATCTAGAATCCAATTGAACCCACCTGGAATTACTCTGTTCTTGGCCTGCCCAGCCTTTCTATCCAGCCTTCCCAGATTGGCATTTTGTACTGCTATCCACTGGGGATCATCACTCAATTGCCAGGGGGCCCCAGATCCCACTGCCACTGGGCCTGCAGAGCAAACTCTGGTGCCCTGTCCTTTCTGTAAAGCCCCCCAAAGGCCACCTTGTGGCACCTCTTGCTCTAGTTCCATGTGGCCCCTGTGCCTCTTGGGCCCTCAAAATAAGCAAGAGTTCATGGTGTTGGCTACCACCTCATCCAGCCCTCACATCCACCTCTAAGACGGCACTATTCTCAACCTCCTTTGACCACAAGGTCACGGAGGCCCAGGGAGTTCAACTCGCCTTAAGTCCAACAGCTAGAAAGCCTCCAAGACTGTCTGAGCCAAGCTCATAGCCATTGCTGAGCCTGAAAGGACAGGGGCCTTGTTTGTCCTAGGGGGGGCCCAGGGCCTAGAGCAATGTCTTGTGCACAGCAGGCCCCCAGACAGTTTTTGCAGAAGGCACAGAGGGATGAATGAATGCTCCTGCACTGCAGTTTCCTGAAGGTTCTACCTGCACTCTGGATCCCTCCCCGCTAGGTTCTGTCCTGAGTGTGGAGCACCCACATTCCAGGAAAGAGCATCAGAGGACCAGATGGTCAGAGACTCAAAGAAGGGCCCGGTGAGACAGCCACAACCTCATCTCCACCAGGGGAAGCTGAGCCTGTGCAGAGGGAACACGGGGGTTCTGCTTAAATTCTGGTCTCTCCTGAATGGTTCCCAAGAAGCACCATTTGGATGCTTTCTAGGAGGCCCTGGAGGTAAGGTCCTTCCCTTCCTGTGCCTCAGCTTCCCCATCTGTAAAATGAAGGTGGTGGTCCCCAGCTCTGACAGCCTGGCATGTACAGCTGCCAAACCACTGCTTGGCTGGAAAGGGCAGTGGGGAGAATTGCTATTGGGGCGTAATGAGGGCTGGACAGAACCATCTGCTTGCACAAGGACGTGCTGGGGCAAAGGCTCAGGAGGAAAGCCATGCTCCCAGGTCCAGTTAGGCCCAGCACTTCCTCATCACCCTGGGCTCAGCCCTGGGCCTGGCTGGGTCATCCCTGGCGATGCCAACCTCACATGGCGAGAGCAGCCTGGTAACCTCCCCTGTGCGTGAGAGGCTGGCTGCCCCAAATCTAGCCCAGGTCTCAGGGAGGGGAAGGACCCATAACAGGTCCTACGTACTTCCTATCTGCAAACATTTTACAAAAATCTGCTCAACAGGAGTGAGGTAATAGAAGCTTAGAGGCAGGGCCTGCCCAGCTGTGCAGAGCTGACCTCACAGACTGCAGATGCAGGGCTGCCTTGCCAAGAAGCCCGCCTGCCACTCCCCAGGCTCTTCTGTTGGAAGAGCAAGCTGAGGACACATGGATGGAGGGAGTCAGCACCTCAGGTCCCAGATACTAGACCTGCCTCCTGGGGATCAGCCCTGCCCCCACCTCCTGGAAGCATCTATCTCTTCTGCCTGCCTTCCTCGGCCCACTGCTCCCAAAGCCAGAGCAGCAGAGGGGGGCTAAGGCTGGTCTCTGCCCCAGGCAGCACCCCACAGGCTGGGAGGCTGACGGCCCACTACGTGAGAAGCAGTGGAGGTAGTGGGGTTGCAGGAGGGTGGGTGAGATCACCTCACACCTACCCAAGGTATAGACGATCCGTGTCATGAGATTGAGGCCCATAAACATGGCCATCCAGCCAGCAGCGCGCAGGCCCCAAGTCTTCAAGGAGTTGCTCTTCTGTTCTCTACGAAACACCTCCTGCAGGAAAGGGAGTCATGTCTCAGAGAGTTGCCTGCTGACCCACTTGCAGGGCAGGTGATCAGGGGCTGTGCCAACCAAGGAACCACTGGACATGCTGAACAGACCAGTAGGAGGAAAGGCACATTGGCTACCATGTCTGGCTGCCCCTGCCACTGGGCACAGCACAGAACCAGCCACAGAGCTTAGTGGCAGGGACGGGCCCTCTTCACATCAGAGCCCTCCTCCTTTTTTTTTTAAGATTTATTTTTTTATTTATACAAGCACTGGGTACAGTCAGAAGTGCAGGAGGGTGAGAGAATTCACCAAACCAGAGCGGGGGGCACAGCAGGCAGAAGGACCGAAGTACACTGCTGAGGGGAGCAGCGGGCAGCAGGAGAGGTCTGCGCGCCATGTGGGACCCTCCTCCAGTGGCCGGGGAGCAGCCGGGAATCGAACCAGCTGCGGGCAGCTTCACAACCCAGCGTTCAACCGCTGAGCCACCAGGGAGGCCCAGAGCCCTCCTCCTTTGAGAACCCTGGGGCCACTGCCCTCCTCCCACTCAAGACTCCTTCACAGTCTTGAGCCAGATAAGCATGCTGGCCATGGAGGGATGCTTCCTGTCTGTGCCCCTTCATCTTGGACGCTCTTTTCACAGCCCCGGGAAGCTCCCTCCAGAACAGCTTCTCAGGCTGCTCCCTCCCAGTCTTGTTGCTGTTCTTCACCTCCTGCTTTCTGCCTGTTTGTCCATCCATCCGCTTAGCGCTAAAATCCTTTCGCTTCTTCAGTCTACACTCTCCAGGGAAACCCATCCACATGCCAGTGCTCCCAGTTAAAGCTACAGCTCTGACACCTTTCTGGGTCTCACCTGGGGCTCCATCACCTATGTGACTCTCCACTCAATGTGTTGGCAGGTCTGACACCGACCCCCAGCCTCCACGTCAGCAAATGCTATACCCTCACCCACATGCAGCAGAAACCTGGGTGTCACATCTGGCTTGTCCCGCCCCTCACCCCCTCCCACCCACGTGGTCAGCAAGTTCTGGTAACACTTTGGGGGTCTGTCCACGTTTCCCCAACTCTTCCTCTTCACAGTTACCCCTCACCCATGCTGAAACCGTCTTTCATAGGGACCCTGCTGTTACCTCCTCCCATGGACCTCCCTGCTTCCACCACCTACCCGCCCACACCGCCTTCTCTGCACAGCAACCTGCAAGGCCCTGACCCCAGCACCCCGCCTTGGGCTGCCAGTCCTGCCCCAGGGCCTTGCACATGTGGGCGCTCTGCCTAAAGCATGTTTGCCCAGCCCTGCCTGGCCCACTCCTACTCATTCTTTCAGTCTTGGCCCAAGTGACATTTCAGAGCCGCCCTGGCCCTAATCTCACGCAGGCTCCCTTTCCCTATCAGTGACAGCAGCTAACATGTGTTGCTGCTGTGGAGCAGCTTCTATCCTCAGTGCTTCACGAGTTCCCATTTCATCCTCAAAATGATATGATGACAGGGGCACATTCATCTCTAGGGCACAGCAGGAGAACTGAGGCTCTGGAAGGGTAAGTAATGTGTGCCAGGTCTCACCCCAGTGGTTAAGTAAGCTGTAGGCACCAGTGCTCTGTCAGAACCTTCTCTCCTGGGGGGTTATCTGAGCCCCAAGCCATAACACCTCTCTCTGAGAGCAGCTCTGAGACCTGCAGGAGGCCTCCTAATTTTAGAAAGTCCTCACGGGGCTGAGAGGTGCTGGAGGAGAGGGTGACTCACAGTGCCCGCCCAGCAGGCTGGGAGGTGGCAGCCCCACCCCCAGGTTGGGAACCAGGCTCCTAGGCTTAGGTTGACCACACCCTCATCCCAGTCAGATAAGGGAGGGGCGCGGCTCCCGGATCACCGTACCCCCTGGGGCTGGGGGTTCAAGTGAGAGGAATGACAGCTGAGGGCCTAATAACAGGTGAAAGGGTCACAGCTACTCCCTGGCACCCACGTGCCTTTTCCTTTCTAGCCCTTCTGGGTACAAAGTCCCATTCTGGCCAGTACAGAATGTCCCACCAGTGACACATAGTGCTCATCAACAATGTAGTAAAAATGGGAATTTTCTGTTAAAGAGCAACCTCCCCTTCCCAGAGCAGGGAGGCTAAGTTCAAGGCATGCAACTGACCAGATCCGCACTCTTGTCCTTGGGGCTCAGGTGTACAATGGCCCTCCCATCTCACAGATGGGGAAGGCCATCTGCAGGGCACTCGTCCTCGCTCACCTGCCCCTGGGACTCATAGTTCGGATTCCTTCACTGGCCCCCCACCAATGTTCCTAATGCAGCAGCACCCCTCCAAAGGCGCCTCCACCCTCAAGCAGGTTCACCCCCCGCCCCTCTTCTCTGGGCAGTGGCCACACCATTGCTCCAGGTGTCCATGACTCAGTGAGCCCGTCTGATGGCCACTCTTGCCTGAACTACCTGAACCTGAACCTGAACCTTCTCTCTCTTCATTTGAGACACAGCAAATTTAAGTCAGAGAGGCCTGCAGCCACTGTCCAAAAGACTTTCTGTGATGGGGTACATTCATCTCAGAGCCTCTACCTCCCCTTTAAAACACTCAATATAGAGGCCCTGACTTACTTGTTTTTGGATGGATCTCTCTTCCCAAGATGAAGGGGAGGAGCCTGTTCTGCTCACTGTTCTGCCCTCAGTGCCCAGCACCATCAGCACACATGGGGAGATTGTGCCCATTTCTTTTTCTTGCCTCATTCTATGGGCCATGATCACTAGTAGCAAGAGCTCGTTAAATAACCACGAGATGGCAGTGGAAGGCATGCACAAGGGGCAGCAGCAGCTCACCTCTGCTGAGAAGTCCCCATGATGCAGGAGAAGCAAGGTGTCCCCAGACTTGGTGGAATATGGGCCCAGCTGGTCACCCCGCTGTCGGGCAATCACGGTGACCTGGTCAAAGAATTCTGTATTAGAGCTGAGGCAGGTGATCAGCCCAGGCGGTCCCAGTATCCTCCAGCCAGGGAGTGAGTGGGAGACCTGCCACCCCAGATCTTTGGCTGAGCTGCTGCATTCACAGTTCTAGGGAGGCTCCTGGGTGGCAGCAGAGGCCGAGGTGGGACTGCACATGACAGGCTGAGGAATGAAGACCAAGTATTTACAGAGCAAAAAATGGGGGCTGGGACAAAGGATGCATGTGATTGGAAGAACTCTCATTAGGCATCGTTAGGAGATCCTTCTAGACACAGAGGTCCACAGGATGGCTGTCGGACAGGGGTCCCTGAAATATGTAGGCCTGACTATGGGAGTGTGAGCACCGGCATGCACTTCTTAGAGGGAGGGCCAGAGCACTCACAACACTGTCCAGGGTATTGAGTCCAGGGGGTTTAGGAAGCCCTGACCGTGTCTACCCGGGGTAAGCCAAATTACCACATGAGCTGGGCCCAGGTCAGGGTGATCGCCGCTCAGCCCTGCATAGGAAAAGGAGACTCGCAGGTCTCCGACCTAGGGGTAGGAAAAGAAGAAGAATGAGTGAGGCAGGGAGCAGTAAGTCTGGCTTCACAGCACATGGAATCCTCTGCCCAGGTGGTCCTGTCACATAGAGCGCCTCGCCCCTCCAACTGCATTTGCTAAGTACAGCTGTGAATTCAACTGAAATGAATAAAAGTTTTAAGTAGAAAATGGACTCCTGTGTGTTGTCAGGAAGGAAGAAGGGAGTGGGGTGCTCAAAGGGTCCCCTTTGTACCTCTGGATACTTGGGGTTTTCACTGTGATAGAAATAGTCTCCTCGACGAATGATGTCGACATGTGGGTCCTCCAGCTTGGAAAGGCTCAGCGGCTTGAAATTGTCAACTTTGTCAATGAGGCCTGAGAGAATCTTGTGGTTAGAAACAACGGTGTGCCCACTGAATACCCCTCCATCCGCAACCCCTCACCCTGAGAGTCTTCACCACGCTCCATACATGTCTCCCAGCAGGGCTGCCTCCTCCTAGCTTACCTCTTCAGGGTCTTTGTACTCAGAGCGCCCTTCTCCAAACCTATCCCCTCCATGTTGCCAGGAAGCCTTCCGTCTCCTCCCCCCGAGTGACCACAGCTCTAAGCGTGGCCTTAGCCCTGTGCCCATTCTGCCTCAGATTGGTTCTGCGTCCAAGCCGGCTCCACTGCAGCACAGACTGTACTTGTGGCCAGGACTGGCTGGCACAGCAGGACTAGCTGAGCAGCACAGTGGCTAGGCAGACAGGCCCAGCCCTGGATCACTGGGCTTCCTCCTTCACCTTTCTACTGAGACCCTAAGTGTCATCTCTCCCATCTGCCCGGGTCAGGCCCAGGGACAGAGGCCTAGGAGCTGGTGTGGCTAATGGTGATACCCTATCCCTTGAAAGCATCTTTTGGGGTCACTGGGGTGTGATGAACCATCTGCTCCCTGGCCCAGCACTGGACATGGGGAAGAGCTCAGAGCTGGATGCCTAGGAGCAGTCTCCAAGATTATTGGTTTCTGAGGAAGAGCTCTGGGCTGTCTGGTCAGAACAGGCGGTACTTGGAAGTCCTCTGGAACAATCCAGGTCTCAGAGGAACCTCATCCATGTGGGGTGTTCTACATGAGTCCCTGTCGTCTGGGGATGTGCTGGTCCAAAGCAAGATGCTCTGGGAACTGTGCTGACTATCCAGGGCAGTGGGGGCCCCTTTAGCCCTCTGAGGCTTGAGTTCCGGAAGAGCCCTACTAGCTTACCTGCAGGGACCCGAGACTTACCTGCTGAGAGGAAAAAGCGGCCAATTTGGACAAAGGGGGCTGTTGCCGTGAAGGACTCCACTGCCATGGCACTGTGGGGGGGTGGGCGGGCAAGGGGAGCCATCTGTGAGGTGGGCACCAGTGGGGTGCAGTCTGGTAGTGCTGGGCAAGGAGCCCACTCAGGTGGCTGCTACAAGTCTAGCCAGTCTAGCACTGAGACACCTTGTCCTTACTCCACTTGCTCCACCCCCTGGACACCAGTCTCCCTGGACCTGGGCTCCTCGTTCTGTATCCTTTTCCCCAGAGCTACACACCCTCCTGCCCAGACCCCTCCCAGCCTGCCCCGGCCCACCAGCAGCTGTCAGATGAAACTACTATGGACTTCACGCCCTCCCTGACCTCCCCCAGTCCCAGGGACATCCAAAATCCACGGTGCACATTCCAGCCCGTCCTGGCACAGCCCTGCCCATCACTACAAGCAGCCCACCCTACAGCTACACTCCAGGGCATGCCATTCATCACCCCATCCCTGTGCTCACCTCCCTCCGCCAAAACTTCAGAAGACCTTAGGAAGGCCTTTCCTGATTATCCTCCCAGCCTCAGCGCTGTTCATGACACACTTCCCTCAAACTGCCCTCAGGCAAATGTCTGCAGGCACCCAGCCCAGGTCTTATATTCCTGACTTGTCTGAGGGGAGTTTTTTGGGGCAGAGTTGGTCTTGCCTATGTGTTCCTTGTGTCCAGCACAGGAGCTGGCCTCAGAACCACATTCCACATTTTCGTCAATTCAACCCCATGACTCAGTTGAAAAAGCCAAGGCTGGCAATGCCAGGCAAGGCTGCACACACGCCCAGGGCCCAGCTCTCACCTGGGGTTTTTGTGGCCAATCTCGCGATCAAAGTTTCTGCTATTGACGATTTCTGACTTCCATTCAGTGTCTGTCGTGGGGAGAAGGAATAGCGCTGAAACCATAGTAAGAGTGGCCACAGGTCTGAGGCCTGAGTCCTCTTATCCAAATCCATGACCCCTCAGGTGCTGAAGGAGCAGCTTCTGGAGCCTGGCTGGATGCATGGGAGAAGAGCTGAGCCCACAGACCACGTGAGCACAGGCATCAGCTGCAGGCCTGGGAGTGGCGGGGGTGGGGGCAGGGCAGGGTAAGGCTACTCACTGTAGGAGTACTTCCGCTCCGTCTTCACCTGCCCGTCCTCCGTGTACTCCCTGCAGGGACAGTACAGGCAGTCCGGTCAGCCCCTCACACCTAGGCCATTCCCATCTCTAAGCATCTCTAGTTGAAAGCAACTTGGAGTCACCGGGTCAGACTCCCCAAGTGGAGCAGCCCTTGTCCACACCCAGACACAGGGCACTTACTCTGGGGCAGCCAGCTGTCCTTGAAGCCCTGACTGGAAAAAAGCACTATCTCACCCTGAGCTGAATCTGCTTCTACCTGGCTTGTACCAGGGGTCACAGCCCCACCTCTGGGCTCAGAGATCTGGCTGCACCCCCTTCTCCAGGGCAGCCCCAGGGAAGGTACCTTATACCTGCCCTTCTCCAGGCTGAGCTGCCTTTGTCTCCCCATCCTATGTGGCTCAGGTGGGGCTGACCCCACTCCAGCTCCAGCTGACCCCAGTCTGGCCCTGTAGCTCCTGTTAGAGTGGACAGGACACATGCTGGGAGCCCGCCTGCCCTCACAGGCGAGGAGACGGAACCCACATGGGAGGGCATTGCTCGCAGTCAGATTCCTGCCTCAAGTATGGGTGTCCCTAGAACTTCCCAGAGAAGGGAAGCTGTTCTGAGCTGGATTTCTACCACCTCCAAACAGAAGATGATTGGCTAATTACTTTGGGATATTTTGACAATTTTCTCATAGGAAGATTTTACATTTTAAATTTCAGAAGTCTCAGGGCCTCCCCATAGCACAGTGGCTGAGTGCTGGGTTGCAAAGCTGCCCGCAGCCTCTGCAGCGCCGGTTCGATCCCCGGCCACCAGGTGAGGGTCCCACATGGCGCGCAGACCTCTCCTGCCGCCTGCTGCTCCCCTCAGCAGTGTACTTCATCAGTCTGCCTGCTCTGCTCTCCACTCTGACTCTGGTGAATTCTCTCACCCTCCCGTGCTTCTGACTGTACCAGTGCGCGTATAAATAAATAAATAAATAAATAAATAAATCTTAAAAAAAAAAAAAATTCAGAAGTGTCAAAATGAAAGCCATTTCCATTTTATCCTAACATCTATATCTCCTTTATCTTTATCCCCAACTGCTTTTTTGACCTCCTGGCACCTCACCTGGACTCCTCAGTTTCTACCCACTGGTACATCTCCACGTGCCGCTTCAGCTTCACGGCTGGGAGGTGGACACCATAGTTTGGATCAGATAAAAGCTGTAAAAAGAATCGAGCAAACAAACAAGATACATAAAGAACAAGACTCCTATTAGTCCAGAATCCCTGGCTTGGGGAAGGCTGGCTTAGAAATGAACAGGTATAGAGAACAGGAAAGGAGTGGTGAGTGTGCCAATGCTGTGTGCTAGAGAACCTCAGGATGCCACCTGCCCCAAATTCCCAGCACCCAGCACCTGTGACCACGAGGTGTGACCTCACAGAAGAGGCTCCGGTTGCACTGAGATGTGAGCAACAACAGAGGATTCAGCGTTCAAACAGGAGAGGCCTGATAACCAGAGAACTTGTGTAGCCTTGCACCAGACACACATGCTAATCACAATTCTTTCAGCACCTATTTGTAAAGCTCACACTGTGTGCCAGGCACTCGTCAGGTCAGCTACTTAATCCCTCCAAGTGTTCAACACTGGCCCCCGAGTTTGTTACAATTATTCTGCCTATTTTACAGGTGAAGCTGCTGAGACTCAGGAGTGATGGGTCTACACATCCACTGATTGGTGGAGTTGGCGTTCACACCAAATGTGTCCACTAACCATGTTTAACATCCTCAACCATACAATACCCAGTGGTGTGCCCCATGTTTCTGACTGGTCAGCAACCACTGTCAAACTTACCTTGGACGTCCGCAGAGCCCCAATGATGTGCACCAGCCTCCCCTCATTCTCTGGGGCCACGCTGTGGATGCTGTCGGGGGATACCACAAGCGAGAGCCCCTCGGCCAGGGAGGTTGCCGTCTTCAACGCACGACCCTGTGACCAAGGAGGGGTGAGCTTGCAGTGGCTCAGGTGTAGGCTGTACTACCATGCTCATTCGGCGCACGGGGCCGGCTGCGGTCTCAGAAGGACTGCGACTGGCCTACCCCTCATACAGCTAAAAACTGGGGTCTAACAAGTGGTCGGGTGGCGTCTGCAATTTTGGATTCCTGCTTTCCCAGCAGCCTCTTCTCAAAGCGCCATCGACTCAGCACTGCTCCCGTGGTGGGGACAGCTGGTGCTTCTGCCTCCCTATGCCCCACCCCCATTTTTCTTTGGCTTCTCCTCTGCTCCCTTACTCTCAGTTCATGAGGTTTGCACAGTTGATCTGCTGTCCAAATCATGTGACCCAAGTCTTGCCATTAGAACATGTGTCCAATGACCAGAGGCACTGGTTCAGAGAGGACTGTACCCAAGCCAAGCTCTCCCTGCCACGTTTGCTTAACTTATTGGGAAAGAGATGGTTCCCCCCTTTTCTCTGGGTTTGCTAAGCTGGTTGCAAGTGGCCCTGGAGTTGCTGGGCCATATGTGCCTCTACAAAGCAAAGAAAAAAAAATTCACAACAGAGAAAAACAGCCACTAGATGAAGAAATGGAGACTGCTGGTGGCCCAGCATGAACACCTGGATCCAACCATGCCCAAAGCTGGCCATATAAGCGGCATGTGAGCCACTTATGCCAGTGGCAAGGTGGGTCATCACAGAAAGAATTCTTTAAAACCTAAGCCATTATGACCAAATCCAGTCTCTGCTGCCTGTGTTCCCAGACTCTGTGGGGGGCCTATGCTCTGTACAGAGGGATCCCAGCATCATACCTCATTGCTGAAGATTAAGTAGAAGGAGAGCAGGAAGGTCATGAGTCCCACAAACATCCCACCGGAGGTCTCACTCAGCCGCTCCAGGAAGCCTGGCTGGGGGTCCGTTGTAATTTTCATATGTTCTCTCTTGTTACTTGTATTGGAATACTGAGAAAAAGACATTTTAGAAAATTAGAGCAACAATTCATTTTTTGTTTGTTTTTAAAAGATGTATTTATTTATGCATAGAAGAACTGGGGTGTGGGGGGTGAGAGGATTTACCAGACACAGAACAAGGGGAACAGAACAAGCAGATCTACTGAAATACAGTGCTGAGGGGAGCAGTGGGCAAGAGAGGAGGTTGTGCCATGTAGGTTAGCTCCCTGGCCGGGATCAAACTTATGTTGCAGTAGCTGATGATAGCTTGAGAGCGCTGTGTCTTTAACCCCTGTGCCACGAGGGAAGCCCCAACAATTTAGTTTTTTTAAGTAAGCTGAATTTTGAAACATGCACAGATACCAAATTACATGATAACAATGGAACGATCAGTCATATATTGATAGCATGAACTCTCTTCTATCCAGAGCCTTTGGTAGCATCATGCTTCTGAGGTTAATGGACACAGTGGAATGTATCAGTAATCAGGTCCTTTTTATAGTTGATTAGGGCTCTATTTAGAGTGCACTACATTTGTTGATTCATTCACCGTTGGATGGTTATCTTGGTTGTTTCTACTTCTAAGTTATTATGAACAATGCTTCCAATAAAATTCATGTGAGAGGCCTTTTGTAGACATGAGCTTTCATTTCCCATGGGTATCAGGTATAGACTACAATTGAATTGTTGGACTAGAGGCAGGATATGTGTTTTTAAAGAAATTTCTGGACTATTTTACAAGAGGTTATTAAAGATATATTTTGAATTAAGTTTAACTTAATTCTGAGGCTTTCTGAGGGCCATGCTGGGCCCTGTGGGGTTACTTACAGAAGGGGTTGAAAGGCATTAGAGTTATCAAGACACAGCCACAAACAATGCCACACCATGTTGAATATCTAGTAACAAGGGTGGATCCAATGTTAAAGGACTGACCCTTTCCAGTTGGGAATCAAGGCAGTCTCCCTGGAGGAGGGGACATTTGAGTAGGATCTCAGAGATAGACCCTGGGGTAAGGGCATCCTGGGCGGGGGGAACTGTCTGAGCAACAGTGAGAAAGTAGGAAGTGGCTCTAGAGGAACAGTTGCCCATCTGCTCTGGCTGGGATGTAGAGACCAGTGGTGTGGGAACAAGGGCAGCTAGGCACTTCCACATGCGTTCATGGTAGGCCTCAAACTCCAGAGACAGCGGATTAGGCTTTGTGCAGCTCATAACAGAAGCATGGTTTGGAGTGAGTCCACTCTGATGAACAGTCTTGTTGTCAAGGACAAGAATCTACAGCCAGAAGGACTAGGTTTGAGTCTAGGCTCCACCACGTACCACCTATGGGAATTTAGGCAAGATCTCCTCTGTGATCCTCCATGTTTGCTGGGAACTTGGTCAGAATGTGAGCCAAGTGTATCATGTCTCACTGGCCTCCCCTAGATGGAAGGACATCTTCCTGTGCCTGTCTTCCTTGCCCTCAAGGCTATCTTTGGGCTCTCTATCTGGACACTGGCTCCTTGCACAATCCCAGCACTCTGGGCTCAGAAGCAATGGGCAATGAGGGTGGGAACACAGGTGGACACTTAGGCCCAGGAAATGGACAAACTGAGTTAGAATCCCAGCTCTGTCATTTATTTGCTGTGTAACCCTGAGTAAGTTGTTCTGCCTCTCTGATCCTGTTTTCTCGCTTATAAAATGAAGACAGAAATAGTACCTCCTTCACAGGACAATTGTTATACTGATTAAGATACTGATTAAGATTTCTGTTGCCTCCCTGCTCCACCCTACCATCTTCAGATCTCTCCTCCTCAACTACCTGGTGACTCCTACAAATGTGCACCCAAAGACTGGATGAATCAACAAAGGCTTGGCAGCAGAGGATATCCAAATTCATCTACATTCCTTAGTGAAGATTAGGTCCCAACATACCCAAGATGGCCTCTGACTACCAGGACCACCAGTCCTAGATTGTGAAGATAGAATTTTTTTTTAATGTACCAGGCATTGTATAAATCAGAATCTCAAACTTCAGAGCAATCAATTCCATGAGGAAATATAAACCCTGAGACATAGTCACTGAGACAAAAAAAAATCTGGATTTGTCTCCAGGTCTGCCTGATTTCAAAGTCTTCCATCTTCAGCACCTTTTGCAGGACACAGGCAGTTCGGCAAGTGCCTTGCTCTGCTGGGGAAGTTCCCCATTTTTAAACCATGGCGGTGGTGGTATGGGGTGGGCTGAAGTCCACATGCTGGGGGCAGGCTGATCTCTGGACCGCTCTCTCCCCTGGCAGAGCTGGGTCTCATGGCTCACCTCTGAGGTTTTTTGAGGTGTAGCATTCAAGTCTTCAAAGTTTCTTGGACAATTCTAACCAGGGGCAGAGTTCTAGGGCTGTGGGTAACACAAACCCTAGCTTCTCAGGCAGTGTGGGTGGCAGAGAGGATGCAGGGACAAGGAGGGGCCTGGAAGGTGGGTGTGACAGGCCAGGGGAGGGTAGCTAAGACACTGGGACTGGCTGGGCGCCCAGGCTGGCTCCTGAGGCACTTTCACAGAGGAGGGGGTGGTGAGTCACCAGCTTCACCCACACCCAGCACCCTGATGGGAGGTGCTGCTCCGTTTGTTGGGCTTAAATAGAAAGTTTCCAGGCCGACCAGGGGAGGAGAGGTCAGCAGCCCTGAGAAGGAAACCGCCTTCAGCCAGGGTCTCTAACCAAATCCACGCTAAGAGGAGGGTCCGCGGGAGGGAAACGCCCCCTCTCACCATCATCCTAGCTCTTTGGCTGCCAAACCAGCCCGACCCTTTGCAGCATCATGGCCTGCGTTTACACACGTCGCCCCTCCACGGGACAGCTGTGCCCGTGGTTGCTGGACAGCTCCCCCTGGGGTCAGCGTCCCACCCTTTCCTCGCCGACTGGTCTTTTCCCTGGGTTCTCTCAAATTTGAGAACCCCAAGGGCCCGGGCGGTACTGGGAATGAAAGGAGGGAGGTGGAAGGCGCCGCACACCGGTGAAGAGACCAGGCCGGAGCAGCACCTTAGTTTCTCCCCGCAGAGGCGCGACCCGGGGATGAGGTGGACAGGCTGAGGGAGATGAACAGCCGCTCTAGCGGCCGGAAGCCACGGGCACAGGCAAGCAGAGGGCTCCGGAAGGAGCAGGCTGCACGGACGACGGTCAGACCGGCAGACGGGACGTAGGCTCCCCCTCGGGAGCGAGGAGGCCCCGGGAGATGGGGGAGTCTGGGTGTGGCCCGACAGATCGGGAGACACTCACATTCGCGGCCATGGTGGGACCCGGCTCGCCGCTCCGCTTCGCTCTGCTCAGCTGGGAGATGAGTTTACGGCAGGAATGCGAAGTTCAGCTACCTTCTTCCTGCCCGAGAGCGGCGAAAATCCGCGCGCGGTCCAGAACTAGGAAGGAGGTGCAGAAGAGTCACCGCCCCAGTTTTTCTGCGTCTGTGAGCCGCAAGGACTCCTGGGAAATGAAGTCCGGGGTCCGGCGCTTTCTCCGCAGCGTTGCAACATGCCGGTACCTCAATGATGCGTCTGCGCATTGCAAGCCATCCTGGGAAATGTAGTTCATACAGCCTGGAGCGTGGTCAAGAGGCGCGCGGCTTGCTGGGAAATGTAGTTCGGATTGCGGGTCTGGTCTGCGGCTCGGAGGGCGCGGAGGCAGGCGCGCGGCGGGCAGACTTGGAGGGGGCGGGTCCGCGCGGGCCTCAGAGCCGCCCGCCCTACCTAAGGAGAGGTCACAACGTGAACCCGCCGCCGCTGTTGCTACTGCGGCTTCTGCTTCTAGGTCTGCGTGCCGGGCTGCAGCCATGTCTTACTGCCGGCAGGAAGGTAGGGAGGGCGGGCTGCCATAGAGACCGGCCTACGAAGGCCAGCAGGGGACACCCGCCTATACAGCCCCCGCAGGCCCCAGAGCCCCCACGACCCCGCAGAGGACTGGGCCCGTAGTATCCTCCTGGGGACCCTCGAGGCGGGCTGAGCGGCGGGGTCGCTTTCCCCATTTTGCAAATGAGAAAACCCAGACTACGGGAAGAACGAGGCTGGCCCAAGGTCACTGAGAGGCTCGAACCCGGAGCTTAGAGGGACTAGCACGTGGGAGAAGTCCTAATGTAGGCCCGAGGGGTGTAAGGAAGTGCTACGCACATTTCTTTTAGCTCGTAATTGGGAATTTATTATTACTACCGCTCTTCCCACACTCCACGTGTTTTTATTTGCATGCACCTTTTAAGAGTCCCGAAAAGTTGCCACACTGGTTGGGCGCAATGCTGGCGTGGTGGAAGGACCACCAACGGCAGCAGTTTTTGAGCCGTTAGTAAGTATCAGACACTGTTCAGGGAGCTCTGTTGGGTTTTCTCACTGATCTCTCAGCGACCTTTATAAATTAGATTCTGTTATTGCCCGCATTTTACTGAAGAGTTAAACTTTTTAAGACATTGGTGAATTGGCTTACCACTGCAGATAAGCCTTGGAGCTGAGGTTTGAACCCTGGCAGTCTGGATCCAGAACTGCAGTGAAATATTCAATGAGGTGTCGCTTAGATTCCTGGGAGCCTTTTGCTGGGAACACCCCTCCTGCATCCCCCTCAACAAAGATGGGTTCACCCTCCTTGCTGCTTCGGTTGTTGTTACCTCTTCCCACTAGGTCAGAAATGTCCTGGCTGAGATTGGTCCCCATATGCTGCCACTAACTGACTTGTTGTCCCTGAGCTACCACCTGACCCCTCCAGTTTCCAGACTTGTAGAGGGGGAAATTGGGTGGCCATTCATTCAGCAGATATTCATGAAGCACTTTTTCTGTGCCAGGTAATGGGGCTAGTGGACACCTAGGAATAAAAGGCTACAAAGTTGAACTCACCCAGAAATTATTTGGTGACTATTCCAGTTCCCTCACTTTAATTCAGGGAATTTATTGCCCAGAGAAGGAGAGGGCCTACGGGGGCCAGGCACAATGCAGATGCCTAGTAAATGTTAGAATTGAGTTCTAACATTTCAAAAGTTAGAACAACTTAATCCAAAATGCTGAGCATTTCCACAGCATCCCACCCTGCTTCTAGAACTCCTTCCTTGGGCCATAAAGCCATAGTACTCACTGCTGTCTCTAATGAGGACTATTTCTATGGATTAATACTTGTGCTGTGAACAGAAGTCCTCTAACCTTACCATTTTGTTAGACTGCAGGCCTCTTGTTTTTTATTTCCTTTTTCTGAGCCTCTAATTGATTTCTTCACTTAGCAAATTATTTTTTAGTCTTTTTGATATACGGTTGTGCAGATAAATAAGGCCCTCCTTGTCCTTGAGGATTTATAGGAGTCATAGGTTCTCTGGGAAGGAGAGGCAATTGTTGCTCTGCCACCAAAGCCTAGATCCCTGTCTTTTCCTGGGTCAAAGGTCTCACTGGAGCACAGTGGTGCCCCACTGGGGTCCTCAGTTGAGGTTTGGTTCTCTCACTAGCACTTTGGTTCCATAATTATCCAAGCAAAAATAATTGTGACCACCATTCAGCTTCAAAGTGCCTGGATCTTGTTCCTTGCCGCTAGTCATTCCCACATTAGGGAATCACTGCTTCACAAATTTGGGTCATATATGAATTATAAAGGACAGAAATTCTCATGTTGGTGCTTAAAATTTTCTTTTACTATGTAAATGTCTAAGAAACCTGCACTTAGGTATAAACATTAGCCTGTCGTCTTAACTAACTGTAAAACCAGACAGATGAATGGGTGAATCTAACCGCACCACTCATCAACAGTGCTGGCAGATGATGTTTGACTGAAACTTACTTGCCCTTGTACAAAGAATATGCTTTAGTGCCAGCCTCATTTAACTGTTTCCACTATCTGATGGCCTCAGCCATTCAGAGCCAGTCTCAGAATGATGAGAGCCCTTCGCTTGCTGCATGCCGTGGTCACTGCAAGTCACGTGGCCCTCCCTGGCTAGAAAGGTGTCATTTCTGTGTTGAGTCCACCTGCATCCCTTTTGCCAACATACGTGATCATTAAAATCTTTTGATTGGAACTCTAAGAGTGTAAGTGGTTATCAATATCTCTACTATGCTTATATCAATATCAGCATTTTTAGATTATCTTGAAAATGAAATCCTAACTGTCTTACTATTTATTTCTCTAGAGAAACTTCATGAAGATTACTAATCTAGCAGGTTACCCCATTAGTTGGCATTCTTATGACTGTTTCTTTCTTTCACAGCTGTATCTGTTGGGAGTAAATAAGACCTGGTGGGACAGGCACCCAGTGGGCGGCATATAAGGTGGCATCCTTGGGATCTTTCAGGCCAGAGTTCATGTTCTTGCTCTGCCTTCACTTTACTGTGTGTAGTTTCTTCTTCCCTCTGGGTCTCCACTTCCTCTGTCTCTGTAAAAAGATAAAGTAATATCCCCTCATGGTATTGGTGAGGATAAAATGAGCAGACAGTTGGAGAAGATTTGAAAAGGATGCAAGTGAGTAAAGATATAATTATGTCCTGTGTGTCCTGTGATCAGTGGTGTAACTGTTCACTACAGGGTTTGTCCTGGAAGGTATATGAGAGGACTCTGCCCTGTGGAAGGGGCCTGGAACATTCTCAATGGGATTGCACCAGGTCTGAGATTCCTGATCGTGGCTGTACATTACAGTTACCTGTGAAGCCCATGAGTGGTACAGATGTGGCAAAAAGGCTGATTCACCTTTTGTTGGTAAGGTCTGGCCAGTTTGGACCCTTTGCCTTGGGTGCCTGAGACTCGGCTTACCATTTAGACTGGACTGAGCTGAGATCTTGGTAACAAAACTGTCAGAGCTGTGCTGAGAAATTTGCACAACTAATCCTGCTTAGCATCCTGCAGATTAATTTCATGTGTTTTGAAAACTGGTCAGATTCGTCCAAGTGCTCCCCCACCCCACTCCTTATGGGAATATCAGACAGATTCCTGCTGTGTGGTTAGCTGATGGCCATAGGTTTTAGGAAAGTGGGGTGCTAACTGCTACAGTGTAGGGGAAAGAGCTCTGGGTGGAGTTGATAGTGAAGTGCCTGCCTCGCCATTGCAACTGGTTGATTGTGAGTGACCACTCTGGGCCTTAGTTTGTTGTATAAATGGTTGAGGGTGATACAACTTTATAGGGTCACAGTAAGGCTAGCTGAAATGAATCCTGGAGTGAACCCATCCTGGTTCAGCCAAAACTGATTTGTTTTTCTGTGCTCACCCAACCTCCCATAAGGAGAAACTTCTGATAAAACATGCATTTGGCACCCACCAGTCTGCTTCCCAGGAGCCTTGGGGCCCTCTGCCTGCCAAGACCAAGATGCTGTGCACATGAAGGGCTGGCTTCCTGCTGCTGCTCCTTGCAGCACCACAGTCCCGACTCTCCCACCCAGCCTGCTAGGTCTAGGTTGGGTGGTGGTTCTAAAAAAGAGTAGAAGTTAATCACATCAGCACTTTGTGGAGCACTTCCTCCTCCGTGCAGTCTTTCCTGGGGCTTGGGAAGCGCCTCCCAGGCTAGTGGGCTGAGGGGAGCTGCACCCTTTTCTCCCATGTCATGAGGGGCCAAGGGATCTCGAGGAGTCTTGGCCAGAGCACTGTTAGACCAGCTGGGTCCTCAGCTTTGCAGAGGCAGGTGACGGACTTTCTCCCCAGAGGGCATCTTGAACAGACTTGCATGACTGCATCGGCTGAGTGGGCTACAGCGGGCTGCAGGCTGCGGGCTGGGCGCTCATGTGTGTGCCCTTCTCACCTTGGCCAAGTGCCCAGTATTTCTGTGCAGCGTGAACCCTGTGGATAAACCCATAAAGGGCTTCAACCGAGTCTTCTGTTACTTTATGCTTCTTCCCCCCAACCCCAGCCATCCTCTCCCTTCCCCCGACCCCCTCCATGAGTGATACCTCCATGAGCTCCTTGTGGAGTCAAGTCTGGCGTTTTCTTCATTCCACCAGTGTTGGCCGGATGCTGGCTGCTTGCAGAGCCGTGCGAGGCATGGGGAGAGGGGAGACATGGCAAATGGATGCAGAGTTCACGGGCTGCTGGGAAATCGTGAGGACAGTCAGACACCATGGAGTTCTGAGCAAGGACTGCTCCTTGTCTGCATCGGTTGGATTAGGGTGTTTTTCACCTCTCACCTGGAGATACACATGGGGGGCAGGTGCCTGACACTTTGTCCACAACCATGGTAGAGTTGTTCCGGCTGCGAGCACTGAGCAGACAGTTGGCTTGCAGATTCCATAACAAAGACCAGAGAAGGCAGTTTGAGGGCCCCCTCACATTGAGATTTCACAGGGCAGTCTCCAAATGTGGTTTGTGAGGCTACTTTGGATTTAGGGGTGATTCACTGCTCTTGAATGAAACATTTCTTCCTCTGTTCTCTAAACACTAGGGAAGGATCGAATTATATTTGTGACCAAAGAAGACCACGAAACACCGAGCAACGCAGAGCTGGTGGCCGACGACCCCAATGATCCGTATGAGGAGCATGGTGAGTGATATAGGGAAAGTCCTTGTTCGCACTTGTCAGGACTGGGTTTTTAGATGCTCGTCTCAGCCGTGAACCATCTCAGGACGGTGAACTTGTTCAGGTGCCAGGGACTGTGCTGAGCTTTCCCACCCTCATTCTCATGCACTTTTCTGGCCATAAGAGTCCTCACTGGAGTTCTCTGCCCCTTCCCTTCTGGGTTTTGGCACTGACCTAAGCTAGTTGGATGCTTAGCAGCAGTTACATTTTGGGGGGAAGGTGTCATTGGATCCCAGAAGTTATTGGTAGATTAAGGTGACAAGGAACCTCCCACTCAGCCACATTACTAGATGGATTTCTGCCACATCTAAAGACTGCTGGCAGGCAGGCACATAAGGAGCCGGAGACCTGGTTCTGTGAGGCGGTGAAGTCATTATTCTCTCATTGTGGTGGTCCACCAAGCCCCTTGCATGGACAGGTCACTCAAGATAGGGGACCCAGGATCTGAACTCTACACTGCAAGTAGGCTGCCAACGTTTGCCAGCTGCCTGCCTGCCAGCACCCAGCTCTGTGGCTGAGACATGTGTGGATTAACTAAGATTGCCAGGATGGCAGAATCAGTGTTCATAGAATCAAAAAGATAGGAGCGCCTTTAAGCTCTCCTGGACTGGTAGGAAAGCTGAGGGTTGGAAGAAGGTGGGAATGGTCAAGGAAGCTAGAATGCCGGGCTTTTGATTGCAGGTTTGGAAACATGCTGCATCTGTGCTTGTCACAAAGCTGAAAATGATTCCATCATTTTGAAAGTGTTTAGAAAACCAGGAAATGCTATTTAGATGCAAACAGGTTTTAAGATATGAAAAGGTGTAAGGTTCAAAAAGTATAGGGTCTGTATAATACTGCAAATGAAAATCCATCTGTAATAACCACCGCCTTACAACATAAATGTATAATTGAATGGTTTGGTTAATACATTTACTATCTCTCTCTTTTTTTTTTTTAAATTTATTTATGCATACAAGAACTGGGGTGTAGGCCAGAGGTATGGGGGTAAGAGGATTCACCAGAGACAGAGTGGGGAGCAGCACAGGTGGATTAACTGAAAAACACTCCCAAGGGAAACAGTGGTCAAGACAGGAGAGGTCTGTTGTGGCATGTGGATCAGCTCCCTGACCAGCTGGGGATCGAACTTGTGCTACAGTGGCTGGTGATAGCTTGATAGCGCTGTGTCTTTAGCCCCTGAGCCACCAGGGAGGCCCTACATTTACTCTTTTTTTTTTTTTTTTTTAAAGATTTATTTATTCATTCATTTTTTTTTATTCATTTATTTAATTATACAAGCACTGGGCACAGTCAGAAGCGCGGGAGGGTGAGAGAATTCTCCAGAGCCAGAGCGGGGAGCAGAGCAGGCAGAAGGACCGAAGTACACTGCTGAGGGGAGCAGCGGGCGGCAGGAGAGGTCTGCGCACCATGTGGGACCCTCCTCCGGTGGCCAGGGAGCAGCTGGGGATCGAACCGGCGCTGCAGAGGCTGCGGGCAACTTCGCAACCCAGCGCTCAACCGCTGCGCCACCAGCGAGGTCCCCTACATTTACTCTTTCTTTAGCTCTTTCATTTTATAAAAATGGAACTGTGCTTTGGTATGCCGCTAGCCTTTTTGCTGTATAACAGGTCTTGGACATCTTCCTGGTCCTTGCGCTGTCCTGAGCTGCTGAGGCAGCCACAGAGCTAGAGGGACTTAAGGGTCAGGATGCATGGGGGTGGGGAGTGCTGATCATTTGTATGGGAGAGGTGCAGAGACTGGAAGGAGAAGAGTGATACCTCAGATTCTTAAGTGTTCTCACTTTCAAAAAGCTTCTCACTAACCGTCCAGGTGATACCCTCTTCTCGGAACGAAGTAGTTTTCAGTGTTCAGTTCTTGGAGCACAGCCACAACACCAGAAGGTGGTATAGACCATTGCTCAGTGTTGCACATAGAGAAAGAGGCTGATGGTGTCTTCTCTCCAGGAATGCAGACATTCAGCCCCATCCAGCTCAAGAGTTAGACCCACAGTCCAGTGCCTGCCAGGCAGCAGTTCATACTTTTTTGTACCTTCTGAATGGCCTGTGAAACTCTGGACCCACAAAGTGGAGACAGTTTTGCTTTCCTGGAGCCTTTGAGAACATCTCTCACATTTTCCTTGCCCATCTTGCTGTTCCAGGGTTGATACTACCAAATGGAGACATTAACTGGAATTGTCCATGTCTTGGGGGAATGGCCAGCGGTCCCTGTGGGGAACAGTTCAAGTCGGCCTTTTCCTGCTTCCACTATAGCACGGAGGATGTCAAGGGCTCAGACTGTGTAGATCAGTTTCGGGCCATGCAGGAATGCATGCAGAAATACCCGGATCTCTATCCCCAGGAGGATGAGGAAGATGAGGAGAAGAAGCCAGCAGAACATTTAGAGGAAACAAATCACAGTGAAGCCCCTGCAACCAAAGAAGAGAAGGGGTCGAGCTAATGAAAGCCATGAGACTCCAGTCCTTCCACTTCAGAGTGATACGAACCTTTTGCAAAATGCCTTTCCATCACTCTCCAAGAACATGTCTTTTCCTGTTGTTCTGTGTACTGTAATGTGCAAAATAACTTATTTTGATCATCAGGGCCCTTGGTCCCTTGACAATACACTGAAAAAAAAAATGGGGTTTTATGTATGTATGTCTCATATAAACTGATCAGCAAATGTAGCTGGCCACTTTAGAATTTTTTTGTCAGATTGCCCTAAATTTTGTTATTTAAAATGACGTGCTAAATAATCTCAGTGAGCAAAAATCATTATCTGGGAGCATCTCTTGTAAGTGAGCTGATTTCTTCTGATTCATCTTTTCACTTGTAGTGGATTTTATACCCCTTTGGGAAATAAAACAGAAACAAAATATCTTCCTTAAAAATGCTGGCTAGTGGCTGTTCCTGATAGAAGAGGCCAGATGATCAGCTCTTATTTTCCAAAATCCATCTTGACAGTGCATATTTGCACTGATCCACAATCCCATTCTCAGTGAAGAGAAAGGCTGGGTTGTTTTTTTTTTTTGCTGTTCTTGTTATTTCTAAGCCCTGCGTTCACACTGGCTCTGTCTCACGTGTTCAGATGCAGTGTTCTTGAGAGGTGGGGACTTACTTGTGACCAGAGTAGCAGCCAGGTGAGGCGAGGCTTGAATTAAGTATTCAATAAACAGGAGACCATGATTTTTACCTCATTTTGAATGTGTTGTTTTTACTAGTTAAAAATACTTTTGATATAAGGACATAAAAGTTATGAAAATTTTAATTGAAATTTCTCTATGAAGATACTGGTTAACCAGATTTGAGTCTTAAAATTTTCTGTGTTGAGGGAGCTCTGGTGAAACCTTTCCCAGAGTGAACCCAAGGACCCCACACTGACAAACCTCATCAGTGTCTACCTCACCTTTTTGTCACATGGGGCATCTTTTATATAGTAAGACAACAATAAATCTTTTTCCCCCCCAAAAAAAAATTTTTTTTCTGTGTGGAGTTCAAAGCCTGCCAATTCTTTGTGAGCAGATGCCTTCCTACAGACATGACTGTTAATCTGTGAGATGGGAAGTCTCGCCATTTGAAGAAAGGGAGCCGAAGCCCTTTCTTGTAACTTGCCTGAGGTAACAGTTAGACCATTTTTAGACTGAGACGAAGTAATGCCTCATTTGTTCACAATATGTTAGTCATCCATGGATACATTAAAAATTGCTTAAAACTTAACACCATGAAACAACAAACACTACCTTATAACTTCTATTGCTCATGAATCTGGGCATAGCTTACCTGGGTCCTTTGACTCATTGTAAGGGCAGGAACAGGCACAGTGCAGGTTTTCTGATCCTATGCAGACCAGGTAAAGGAGGAGTCAGAGTCCTCAGTAGTTTTGCAGGTTTTTTATTTGGGGTTCACCAGGCATATGACAGGCAGGGGTGCTGGCTGGGGGGCTGGGAGGCTGGCAGGCCTGCCAGCCTCCCAGCCCCCCAGCCCCCGGCAAGTCTTCACTCTATCTGGGCTCTCTAGAGTTCGTTCTGCTGCTTCTCGGCTTCTCTCTCGGCTTCTGCTTAGGCTTCTACTGCTGGTGCTGGTGCTGCTGGTGCTGCTGGTGCTGCTGGTGCTGCTGGTGCTGGTGCTGCTGCTGCTGCTGGTGCTGCTGCTGCTGCTGCTGCTGGTGCTGCTGCTGCTGGTGCTGCTGCTGCTGCTGCTGCTGCTGCTGCTGCTGCTGCTGCTGCTGCTGCTGCTGCTGCTGCTGCTGCTGCTGCTGCTGCTGCTGGCATCCCCCCGTGACGCCGCCCTTAAAAAGCACAGTCTCAGCTCAGCTGAATCCCATCTACCTATGCCCACATCCTATTCCAGGTGCCTGCCATCAGGCATGCATTCAGGACAAGGATCCATCATCTATCCTGATGGCGGAAGGGCAGAAAAGCCTGATATTTTCTTTACCCTACACTCATAGTGTCTCACAGGCTGTGATCGAGGGGTCAGCCAGGGTTCTAGTCAAGGCTTGACAGGCCTTCCAGAATCATTCAGCTGGTTTGGGTCAGGATTCAGTTCTTTGTGGGTTTGTTGGATTGAGGGCCTCTCCCTTAGTTCTTGCCCTGTGGGCTTCTCATAGTGCAGCAGGTGGCTTCCATCACGGCAAGCAATAGTGCAAGATGGGAGGCAGAGGCTTTTAGTGAACTAATCTCAAATGACGCTCTATGGCCTTCCCCTGTCATCTGTTAGAAGTGAGTTACAGCCCGAATTCAAGGAGCTGAGTACCAGGAGGCTACAGAGTACACCAGAGAATGAAGTAGCAGCACAGCCAGGCTTTCAAAGACAGTGAGCTGTGAGGAGTTGTGGTCCTGAGGTGTTAGGGAAAACAGTGGCACCTGCAGCCAGGACTTTTAAAAAACCCTACAATTTAGGAGCCAAGAAGCTGGAGTTGCCCAAGTTAGGAGATAACAGCCCCAAGAGGCTACTTTTAGCACAGTTTAAAAAACACATTTTTGGTTTGGATAATTCATTTTAAAATTGCCATTTATCTTTATAAGCAAAAGATATATGAAAAGAATTTTGAAAACACCTGACCTATGTGAAGCACCAGGGAAGCGTTAATTATTGAATATTTATTTATCCCCACTCACTTTGGCCTGGGAGAATAAATATAGAATATTGAGGACTTCATCGCTGGGACGAGGAACAATGGCCATAACAGTGATCTTCTCTGACACACTGTGACCCTTGGACATTAGGCCCTTTCGTTGTCCAGTTTTCACAAGAGACAGCACCAAATGTTTCCTACATTCACCACCCACTCCAGGGAAGCCGAGATAGCTCACAGGGCCTCCTCAATTATCAGAAGAAAGAAATGCCACCTTTTATGTTCTCATTTTTCTAGACCGTGTAGATTAGAGACAATGCCTCCACCATGTGAATGATGTGGGGTTTTCACCTAAAGCTGGAAGGGAATTCACTTGTGCCTTGAAAGACACTTCTAGCTGCTCAGGGGTAGGATCCCATGCCATCAAGTCTCTCTTAATTAATCTTTAATATTTACCCAGAGTTCTGTGATACATGTTAAAAAGGATCACACTGAAGAGCCACACGACCTAAAGTCAAGCATTTTGCTCCATCTTTTTAATGTAATCTATACCTTAATTTTTTTTTTATACCTTAACATTTTTGATCGTTACAGCATTGTGAAAGAGGTCATATTTCCCCCCAGAATCTCCATGTGAGGAGTTAAGAATGATAAAATAAATGATTCTAAAGATTTATTACAATTCTCTAATTTTATCAGCATACATTTCAGAAGGAAGCCAGAGGTCTTGAGGGTCCAAAGTCCTTGACACGTTGCTCATGAAATCAGTGTTCAATCCTTGACAATGATAGAGAAATGCAACTGGCACAGTCAAGGGGACCAAATAGGTTCCCTGAGGGTGATGCACATGCATGTGACTAGGATGAGCGCCATGAGATACCTTTGGTTAAACCAAAGATGCCAAATTCAAGTGCAGAGGTCAGTGCCAGTAGGGTTCATCTAGTCCTAAAATTTCCCCTTAATTAAGTGGGTGTGGGCATATACATTGCCCAGTAAAGGGGAAGTGATATTTTTAAAATTAATATAAGGAGAAAGTATAAATGGACACAAATAACCTTATTCTTGCCAGATCTGTGATATTGTATTCTTGGGTCTTAGGGAAACAAGATGGGGAAATCACCGTTGTCATCATTTTCTTCTTTTGTTAAAGCAAACTCAGTCCCACAGTCATGGCCTCTAATTTAAAATATGCTGACTGCTAGGCCACACGTTTAAGCACTGACAACATTAATTTAAATATTTGAAATTAAAAAAGGGACAAGGTATGTTTTGATGAGAAAATATTTTGTAGGAATGTGAGGTAGAACTCTTTATAAGCCAGTTTGGAACACAGAAACTCATATCCTGAAGAATTTTAAATTATTTCTATGTAAATATCTTCTATTACCCAAACTACAGAGATACTTATATAATATTATAAATTGTATTATGAACACTGCAGAAGCAAACCTAAGTTTAATGAAAATCTAGAGTTAAAACTTACCCTATATAGCATAATAACATGTAGTAAGTAAATGAAAGTCATTTTATTCAGAGAAAGGAATGACAACTTAAAATTAACTGAGTATTTCATATGGAAAAAAATCATCTAATTTTTATGTCATTAAATTCAAGGATAAATATAATAAAAAAATTTCATTGGATTACAGAACTGCTGAACTGTGAGGCTGGCTAGACTGGACCTCAAGTTAGAAAAAAATTCATTACCAAACTCTTTCCAGTGCCTGCCTAGGGCCCCACCCACCACTGGCTCCAAGTGTGTGGTAAACAGGCACTTACCAGAAAGACCTGTGGGGTGACCTACGCATGTGATAAGAACTTGCACAGTTTAAAGGCAAGGATGTTGTTAGCGCATCTCTCTGCAGACCCATAATTTTAGTGTCTGTAGAAAGGTGACAAGATCTGACTGGGGAGGACAGAGCCACTTGTCTCTTCACTTTATTTTCTCCTGGAAAAAGCAATCTCAGAACAAAACTTTTCCACCAGTTCCCTTGCCACATCTGTGGGGAGGGGTCAGAGGTCACTCTAGACAACAAGTTCTCTTATTTTGATATTAAGATCAAATACATTATAACCACTCTGTTTAATGTCTGACTTAAAATAGTTGGATTCCCATATGTATAGTATTGTATGCAGTCTTTTATGATATATAATAGCACGGCTAAGATGAACTTTTCAGAGCTGTCCAACAGAACTTTCTGTGATGAGGAAATGTTCTGTGTCCCATTCAGTAGCCACTTGTACATGTAGCTGTTGAGCATTTGAAATGGGGCTAGTGTTGGACCCACAGACAGTGACAAGTTCTCTAGTGGGCAGTATCCTCTGAGGCTGTAGCCCATCTATGGCCCTGCTATAGCTCTTCTCACAAGTACCCACCTTTGGTACCGAATTTTTGAATGCTACCCCAGGTTCACGAATCATAAGCTTTTCAGATTCCCCATGGACTTACACAACAATATGCTATATACTTGTGAAAATAATTTAGCCTTTTGCTTTTGTTTCACAGAAGGTAAATCTATGAAAATATGCTTCAGGGCCATTTTACAATGCTATGCACTTCATATTTATAAGTCTTGAACTTAAGGAAATATCTGCGTTGCATAGGGAGACTGTTCTGAGTGGACCACTACCAATTCTCTAGTATGAATTTTACACTTGAGCCCTGTAACTCTGGAGATAGCTCCTTGCTTGCTCGAGGGCCATTTGCATGCCTGAAATCCTGTGGGGAAGCATCTTTCAGGCTGGGGTGGACACCAGTCTTCTAATTAAAACCTCAAACAAAATCATCAGGAATCTTATTTTAATTGTAGTTATATTTAACTGCCCTGGATCCATAAGCCCACGAATGGAGAGAAAGTAATTTTGAGAATGTGTTCCTGTGAGGTACTGATAACTTTACTCACTCTGAGGCATTTTTTTTTTCCCTTTTCTGGCATGATAATGAAAAATATGTAAGATGATGTTATCTTGGGGGACTCAGAGACAGGATTAAAATTTCTTCAGAATCTTATGTACAGAGATTGTGAAAATGGTGTTCTACTTTGGTAGCCATTGCTCCTCTCTCTCTAGGCAGGGGCAGAGCTAGGAATATGTGGGACATGACCCTCATAAAAATCTGTCCCTCCATTTTGTTGTTTAAATGAAAAGTAAGATATTAGAGAACAGAGACTATGAACATGACTACTATATTCCTGTTCCCCCTACATGCATGTGATTTTTTTAATCAACTACCTCTGATTTAATTTGCAAAAGAAATATAAATTTATATTGAATATTTAGGACTTACAATTTTTCTCTTTGATTTGGTATTGGTTAATATAAATTTATTACAATATTTTTACATAAATTTATTTCACTGAGTGAATTCAGACCTTGAACCAGTTTCAAATACGAGTTCATTTACGTGGCTTGCTCTCCCAGGGCAGGGTAATGGCACTATAAGTTTCATAGTGCTCCCATTCCTAGGTATGTCTATCTGGAAAATTAGTTAAATACATAAAATTCACCGAGAGTGGCACTAAACATACGTAGGCTGCCTACAAAGCAAGCTGTAAGGAGCTTTTGAAAAGGTCCAATGGTCAAACCAGTTTACAGGCAGCTGAAACTGGCCTCCAGAGAAAGCCCTGAGTACACATCTGGCGCCATCTTCTGTCCACCTTGAGAGCATTACTTCTAAATTAGGAAAATAGGGAGCAGAAGGATGACGATGAAATACACTGGGAAGGGTAAACAGCCAAGTGCTCTAGCAGATCTGGGGAGGGGAGCAAGAGGCAGCTGGGGAAGCAGGCAGGGCCGGCTCTGGAGGAGCCCTGCTCTCCTGGCTCTGAAGGGCTGCCGGTGCA